TGCCACTCAGGGTTTGTCCCAGATGCCATGGTCTCCCACCTTCTTTAGGATTTTGCTATTCTGCAATTAAGTGCCCTCTCTCTTGCATCATTGAGTTTTCTGTTGCTATGGAATTATCATTTGCAAATCAACATGCTCTAGTATGCCTAATCTTAAAAAAACTCTCTGCCTTGATCGCATACCCCTTTCCATCTGCAATCCCATTTCTCCAGTCTTTTCAGCAGAACCCTTCTGTGAAGCTATTATCATTTGCAAATCAACATGCTCTAGTATGCCTAATCTTAAAAAAACTCTCTGCCTTGATTGCATACCCCTTTCCATCTGCAATCCCATTTCTCCAGTCTTTTCAGCAGAACCCTTCTGTGAAGCTGTGCATTCTTGCTGCTGCCATTGCTCTTCAGCCACTCTATCCACCATCCCCTCACTTGGGCTTCTGACCCCTCCATGCCCTGAGGTCACTCTTGTCAAGATCACCAGTGACTCCATCCTGCCCAACCCCATGGTTATTCTTTATCCTACTTGAACTTTCAGGACCATTCAATATGCTCAAAGAAGTCAGTGATTTCCATGCTCCCATCTTTCCGCTTCCTCACTGGCTTCTTTTTCTTAATTGACTTTCCTGGCTCCTCTTTTGCTTGACTTTTCTGGTCTAGAGTTTACCTCAGGGCAGTGGTTCTCAAAGTGTGATCCTGTATCAGCAACATCAGCACTACCTGAGAATTAGTCAGAACCGCAAATTCTCGACCTCAGAGCCAGCTTAACCAATTAACCTAGAAATCATCCTTGATTCCCCTTTTTCCTCACACCATGTCCAAATGACCAGCAAGTCCTATTGGCTCCACCCCCATGATATATTTCCAATTAATTTGCTTCTCCGCATCTCCACCTTGACCACCTCAGTCCAGGTCTTTGGCAACTCTCGCATGTACTAGTTCTGTTGCTTTCTCCCTGCCTCCACTTTTCCCTACTCCTCCCTTTCCTTGCCACAAGCTGTTATCCTCTCAGCTACCAGAGTGATCTTTACATGTAAATTAGCCATGTAACTACCCCGCTCAAAACCTTCTTCTGGCATTTGAATAAAACTGCACTCAGGATAAAATTCAACACTCCCCGTGCAGCATTACATGATCTCATCTCTGCCCCACTCTCTGACCTCACCTTCTACTTTTTCCTTTGCTCATTTTTTCCTTAGCTATATGCCTTTTTTACATTCCTTCCCCTCAGCCTTCACATGCTGTTCTCACTACCTGGACTATTCCTCTCCCCTAATCTTCAGATGGCTGCCTCCCTCTTGTTCTCAGGGGCCTTCTAGTCCACTAATGGAATGTTGTCCCACTCCCCAAGTGACTCTCCATATCGTACTGTTTTATTTTGCCATAACAGTTATTAAAATCTAAATTTATCTAACTTATTTGTTTGTTTATTTATTGTCTAGGTCTGCCCATAGTATGCACAGCTCCATAAGACTTTGTCTGGCCTCTTAATTGTTGTATTTCCATGCCTAGAACGATGCCTGGCACATACACATTGAATGAATAAAACTTACAGAAATTTAAAGTCAGGAAAGCAAAAGTCTCGTGTATGGTAAATCTCTTATCTCATCCATAAATGTGGCAAGATACTTGCTTTATAAGAGAGAGCTGAGACCCATCAGCAGATTCCCATTTCACATTTGGCGTAAAACATGCCCACAGGAATAAACTGGTGGTGAAACTGTCTACATAATTTAAGTTACATGGTCTCTCTCTCTCTTTTTTTTTTTCTGAACTATCATATTTGGTTGAATTAACTCAGCAGATTCCCATTTCACATTTGGCGTAAAACATGCCCACAGGAATAAACTGGTGGTGAATCTGTCTACATAATTTAAGTTACATGGTCTCTCTCTCTCTTTTTTTTTCTCTGAACTATCATATTTGGTTGAATTAACTTAGTGAAATCGGTGTAATGTGACTCTACTGTAAGTAGATATTATTCTGTATTATCTTATTTTTCAATTTCTGCTAGCCTAATAAGATTATGTGCTGTGTAAGACACAGACTACATCTTTTGTTTCTCTTCCAGCACCTTCAGGACCAAGGAAGTACTGAAGTACTAGGTAAATTTAAGCCCAACTACCAAATTACTGGCTGCTCAAGAAAAGCTATCAGGTGCTTCAATGAATCACAAAAGCTCTCAGAACCATAAGGGATAACACAAAATAAAATAAAATAAATGAAATGACAAATCTGAAAAAAGGATGGGCATACCTTATTTTATTCTGCTTCATTTTATTGCACTTTGCAGATACTGCATTTCTTACAAATTGCAGGTTTGTAGCAAACCTGTGCCAAGCAACTCTATTGGTGCCATTTTTCTAACACCATGTGTTCACTTCATGTCTCTGTGTCACATTTTGGTAATTCTTGCAATATTTCACACTTTATTATTATTATTATATTTGTTATGGTGATCTGTGATCGCTGATCTTTGATGTTACTATTGTAATTGTTTGGGAGCTCCAGGGATAGTGCTCATGTAAGACAGTGAACTTAATTGAGAAATGTTGTGTGTGTGTGTTCTGACTGTTTCAGTGACTGGCCATTTCCCCATCTCTCTTCCTCTTCTTGGGCCTCTCTATTCCCTGACACAACAATATTGAAATTAGGCTAATTAATAACCCTACAATAACTTCTAAGTTAATTAGAGGAAAGGAAAAGTTTCACGTCTCTCACTTTCAATCAAAAGCTAAAATGATTAAGCTTACTGAGGAAGGCATGTTGAAAGCAGAGAAAGGCCAAAAGCTAGGCCTCTTGTGCCAAATTGTTAGCCAAGTTGTGAATGCAAAGGAGAAGCTATTGAAGGAAGTTAAAAGCTCCAGTGAACGCACAAATGACAAGGAGGTGAAATAGTCTCATGTTCATATGGAGAGAGTTAAGTGGTCTAGATAGAAGATCTAACCATCCACAACATTCCCTTAACCCAAAGCCTCATCCAGAGCAAGGCCCTAACTCTCTTTAATTCTATGAAGGGTTAAGAGAGGTGAGGAAGCTGTAGAAGAAAAGTTTGAAGCTAGCAGATGATGGTTCATCAGGTTGAAGGAAAGAAGTCATCTCCATAACATAAAAGTGCAAGGTGAAGCAGCAAGTGCTGATGGAGAAGCTGCAGCAAGTTACTCAGAATATCTAGCTAAGATCATTGATGGAGGTGGCTACACTAAACAACAGATTGATCAGTGTAGATGAAGCAGGCTTCTACTAGAAGTTGTCATCTAGGACTTTCATAGCAGGAGAGAAAAAGTCAATACCTGGCTTCAAAGCTTCAAAGGACAGGCTGACTCTCTTGGTAGGGGCTAATGCAGCTGGTGACTTTAAGTTGAAGCCTGTGCTCATTTACCATTCTGAAAGTCCTAGGACCCTTAAGAATTATGCTAAATCTACTCTGCGTGTGCTCTGTAAATGGAACAACAAAGCCTGGTTGACAGTACATGTTTACAGCATGGTTTACCGCATATTTTAAGCTCACTGTTAAGAACTATTGCTCAGATAAAAGATTCCTTTCAAAATATTACTGCTCATTGGCAATGCACCTGGTCACCATCACCCAAGAGCTCTGATGGAAATGTACAAGGAGATGAATGTTGTTTACATGCCTGCTAATACAACATCCATTCTGCAGCCCATGGATCAAGGAGTAATTTCAACTTCCAAGTCTTACTATTTAAGAAATACATTTTATAAGGCTACAGCTACCACAGATAGTGATTCCTCTTATGGATCTGTTCAAAATTAACTAAAAACCTTCAGAAAAAGATTTGTGATTCTAGATGTCACTAAGAACAATCAGGATTCATGGCAGAAGGTCAAACTATCAACATTAACAGGAGTTTGGAAGCAGTGATTCCAGTCTCCATGGATGACTTTGAGGGGTTCAAGATTTCAGTGGAGGAAGTAACTGCAGATGTGGTAGAAATAGCAAGAGAACTGGAATCAGAAGTGGAGCCTGAAGATGTGACTGAATTGTGCAATCTCATGATAAAACTTTAACTGATGAGGAGGAGTTACTTCTTATGAATGAGAAAAGAAAGTGGTTTCTTGATATGGAATCCGTTCCTGGTGAGGATGCCGTGAACATTGTTGAAATTACAACAAATGATTTAGAACAGTAAATAAACTTAGTGGATAAAGCAGCAGCAGGGTTTGAGAGGATTGACTCCAATTTTAAAAAGAAGTTCCATTGTGGGTAAAATGCTATCAAACAGCATCACATGCTACAGAGAAATCTTTTGTGAAAGGAAGAGTCAATCGATGCAGTAAACAGGATTGACTCCAATTTTAAAAAGAAGTTCCATTGTGGGTAAAATGCTATCAAACAGCATCAAATGCTACAGAGAAATCTTTTGTGAAAGGAAGAGTCAATCGATGCAGTAAACTTTATTTTGTTTTATGTTAAGAAATCCCAGCCTTCAGCAACCACCACCCTGGTCAGTCAGAAGCCATCAACATTGAGGCAAGACCCTCCATCAGCAAAAAGATTACAACTCCCTGCAGGAGTTAGCATTAACTAAAAAATGCTAGATGTTAGCATTTTTTAGCAATAAAATATTTTTAATTAAAATAGGTACTTTTTTTTTAGACATAATGCTATTGCATATTTAATAGACTACAGTATAGTGTAAACATAACTTTTACATGTATTGGGAAACCAAAAAATTCTTGTGGCTTGCTTTATTGCAATATTTGCTGTATTGCAGTGGTCTGGAACTGAACATGCAATATACAGGTATGACTGTATTTGTAATTTCTTTCCTTCAATCTGGGACTTGTAGTCATTCTCAAAATATTTTTTGAGATACTTTGAAGTGCTAGTCGGTGCTGTATACCTCCAGGGTCCATGACTCCCTAGAATTTTTCCTGTAATGATTAATCACATCCCCAGTTCCAAGTGCCATCTCCCATAATCCAAAAAGATGTACTGTTCAGTTGTGAGAAATAAATAGATAAAGCAAATGACTGCCATACCTTCAGTAGATCTTACATTTTCAGGTTGGTTCTGGTTGACGGACTCCTTGATATCCTCAGAAATCTTTGATTTTGGAAGACTAAGCATCTTTGAGGATTTCTGTTCTGAAGCCTTACATGGCTTGGGATCTAGAAAATCCGAAACAATCATAAAGTGATATTTTGGACAATGATACAATGACTACTAATGTTCATACAAACAAATGTTGAACAAAGTGTTTTACAATGAATAAGTTGCATCCCACCCACCTCTTCAGAAAGACTAAATATAAGAAAGCCAGTAAGAGGCAGGAATTCTTCATAATAAGAAAAAATGTTTGCCATTAACAGACAGGACAGTATCTGCAAAGTTCACACCCATTAAAACAAAAAAGGATGCTAGATGTTTCCTTAAGAGGATGTCATTAAAACAAAAAAGATGGAATGATGTTTCAGGAGCTACATGTTCCCTTAAGAGCATTAGACCACATAGCAATCACCTCATTATGTTATGAAGTAGAGGCCAAGTAATCTGTCTCTACATTTACCTAGTGATGGTGACTGACATGTGATTTTAGAAAGTTTCTAATCTTAAATCCATTTACTACTATGAAAATATAGCTCTTTATTAAAATGTATCTCTCTAAGAAATAGGGGTAATATGAAACAAATTTTAAGAAATATATCTAGGATGGGGGAGGCAAGTACATTACAACTTGTGTGTGTGCCAACCCTGGTTGAATGGTAGTGGGTGCCTGGAGCATGTACAGAAAAGACTTCTGGAGCCTTGCCTGCCCCTTTTCCAGGGGAAGAGCTGGCTGTGATTAATCAGTGTTGCCTGGGTAGCAGCACAAAGGCCATTAACTTGCAATTCCTGATTTCTCCCTATCACATTTACAAGTCATTGTTCCAGCCTTAGTCTTTGGTTTGCAAGCTCTTTCATAATTAAATGTTTTTGTTGACTGTGCTCCTTACAGGAAGCTGAACCTCTGGTATGGAAGTGTACAGTAGAAAATTCCTCTGTCTGGGAATTTTAACTACTCAGCTAATTAAAGAGAGGCACTAAATTTCACTTCATTCTTGAATTCTTCAGCATGCATTTCCTGAGACTGAAGACATCCTCCTGTATATCCACAATGCTATCATCATACCCAAGAAATTAAAAGTAATTTCACGATATCCTCTAATAATAGTCCCCTAATCAAATTTATGCAGTTTCTCCTAAATATATTTTATAGCTTTTTTTTTCTCAATCCAAGATCCAATCAAAAATTGTTTAATATATTTAGTTTTTATGTCTTTTTAGTCTCTTCTAGTCTAGAATAATCATCCCATCTTATTTCTTTTAATGACATTGACTTTTTCTGAAGAGATAAGGCCAGTTGTCTTATAGAATGTCCACAGCTTGGTAAACATTTATCTGATTGTTTCCTTTTGAATAGATTCGGGTTAAGAATTTTTGGCAAGAATTTTATATAGTTCTATGCACTTTAAATTGCATTACATGAGAAATCACCTCATGCTAGGGTGTCTTGCTGTTGATAGAAGCTTGATTACTTAGTTAAGGCAAAAAATTCTGTATGTCTCCATTAAAGGTACATTAGTATCTTCATTAGTAAGTAATATGTGGGTTGATATTCTGAGACCATGTGAATGCCCTGTTCTCCAACAACCTTTCATTTCTTCCTTGATTTTTAAATTAGACACTTCTTCTAAATGCTTTTAATTAAATTTTAAGCATACAGGATGAAAAATAAATTTTGTTTACATCTTGGTTTCCTCATATAACTCAGTCAAATCTGTAATATGCAGTTCACAGTAGGTTATGTCAACAGCTATTCCTAAGACAAAAGGTGGTATGAACTGGTTATGTTCTAAAAGGCCACTATAAGGTATTACTCCATTAAGTACATTTAACAGGTACATTCAATAGCTACACTAACTTATTACCTGGATGAAGATCAGCTGTGTCTTGAAGCATTGTTTTGTTTGCATCTTCATCTTTCTTTGTAAAAGAAGGTAGTTTTTTGGAAAGGCTGTCCAGATAATTATACTTAAAGGAAAAACCAGAAGACTTAGTTTAGACTTACACATGGCTGAAGATAACTGCCACAAATACTTTAAGCTGATGAGCAATGATGGAAGCATATTTTTTAGGGTCCTGCAAATGAAGTTTACAAACTAAAAGTTCTTTAAGAGACTGATTAACTCAATTCTAGCTTTTGTCAATTAGTCACAATTTCCCATCATTTCTTCTCAGGCAAGCTCTTGTTAATAACAGCATTTGGACCTTACATAGAAACACAATAAGTTCTGAACACATAAAAATATTCACTTTGCTTCAGGGTTTTGATGAACTTCCAGCCCGTGTGGGGAAGGTTGGGTCTGTGGTCCTAGGTGTAAACTCACACAGAAGGGAGAAGAGTGCTCGCTCTGCCTCCGTGGGCTTCCAAGAATTCACAATACCTTAGTGCTAACTCAGCAGCTGATGGGTGAGAAGATTTTAATGGAATAAAACTCCAAAATGAGATTGAGCATAGATAATCATTGATAGGAAAGATTCACCTCAAAAAGGGTTTACAATAGACAGGGAAAGGGTAATTAATAGTGATAATACAAGATAGGGAGGCGGAGCAATATTGATTTACTGGCAGAGAACTTCTGCTTAGGTGTAGGGCCTGAAATTAGTCTTCCCTATCACATGCTTGTGAGAATATGGATTTGAAGGCCATCAAGTCGATGCAGGAAGGAATCAAGCACATCAGGAAAGATAGATTACAAAATAACATATGCAATATATCAACTTTTATAAACGCTTTTATTCTATTGTTGTTAATTATATTCAATTACCTGAGACTGATATGACTTGCTCAATTCAGATTTGAAATAGGGCGGTATTATACAGTTCCTAATATTCTTTAGATAATTTTGTGTTTCCTCAATTTCCTTCCTGGTTGATATTTCCATAATGATGCAAAAGAAAACAGAACATTTAAAAATGTTATTTGGCTGTGTTTTTGCTTTAAATCCTACAGAAAATCAATGCAGTCACTAATGGCGAAACTGATAAAAATGAATATGTCAGATATTTTTTTCTCAACTTGTTTTGGCTCATTTTCTGAAATGTTATTTGGCTGTGTTTTTGCTTTAAATCCTACAGAAAATCAATGCAGTCACTAATGGTGAAACTGATAAAAATGAATATGTCAGATATTTTTTTCTCAACTTGTTTTGGCTCATTTTCTACTTCATTTAGAATCAGTCACATTTCCTACTTCAGAAATCAAACCTTCATATAAGATAGGAAATGATACCAGGTGTTAGTGTGATTTTGCGGTTCATCTCAAAAGACTAAAAACCATATAGCCCTATAATGGTTGAACTTTTTGAGGTTTTTCAATTCTCTGAGATTTAAATGACAGCTAAAGTCTACTGGTTTGCATAACTTCAATTGCAGTGGTAACAGAAAAACAAAAACAAAAATAAAAACTTGAAGGATGGTTTATGAATAATGTGGTCAGTGGTTACAAAATAAAAGAAATCGTCATAGTCTTGCTAGACTTTTTCCAAATACCAGAACCCCTATAATAGGGTGGCAATAATGTATATAGGGACCGTCAATGAAATGCAAACTGAAGTCATTGGGTAAGGCTCAGGAAGCTTTTAAAGAGGGCCGACTCGGCTGGGAGGCTTTCCCTTTGTCCTTACCTCGTAAGTGCTTACTGCATGCCAGGAACTTTGTAAAGTATTTTACATTTAATCTTACAATAATCATATGAGTTACTATTATTATCCCCATTTTATGGGTCAAAAAACCAAGGCATAGAGACATTAAGTAACCTACTCCAAATCACATAACCAGTAAAGGGTGGCACATGAATTAAAACCCAGGTGCTTGCCTCCAAGCCCATGTCTTGAAAACCACACATGCTAGTCAGCCATCAGTCACCCATTGTGAGAGCTGAAAGAGATCTTAGATATTTGGCAGTCTGATCATCCTCATATTTTACAGATAAGCAAACTGAGCTCCTGAACTAAATTTTACTGACGTGAAACAACTAACCAGCATCACACAGTTTGTAAGTAATCAAACTGTAACTGACTCTAGATCTGTTGACTCTAAGACCAGCTCTTCTATACTAGATGGCCTGTCTGGAAATACTGAACAGGTATGATCAAAGTATCATCTTATTTAAACTTTAATTTCCCACTAAAAGTGTCTTCTCACTACTGCCTCACTGGATTCATTCATCAATCTGTAGCATTCTACCTGTTTCCCACCATTCTTGTAAAATTGTTCTTGCAAGAGAAACCAATAAACCTGCTAACTGATAAACACTCACTGCTTTTTCATTCTCGTTTTCGATTCTTCCACAGCATCTGACATCTGTTGAACACCTTCCATTGCCTTGAAATGTTTTCCTTCCTTTCCCTAATCCATTTTCTATGTTGTCAACTATTCTCTTTCTAGGACACACATTAAATTATGTGTTTCACTTTTTTTCTTTAGAAAATTTTCATTGGCTTGCCATTATCTACCTATATGTTAAAATTTGAAATTGATAATGTTTCAAAAATTTTTTAAAAAATTGAATAGGTAACACATCATATGAATGCAATGCAAAAAGTATTAAGGAGTACCTAATAAAAAGGTGGTCGCCATCTCACAACATCCCTTGACCTCTCAATCTCCTTCCCCACAGGCAATCACTGTACTGCTCTCTTGGATATGCTTTCAAGAATATTCTATGAGACTAATTGGTTCAGGAACATGCTACGGCACCTTGGCATACTGAACATTTTAAGCTGAAGACATCTGAGAAACAGCATGTACAGAAAGGTCTCTCTGACCTTCCCCTTTTTTCCCCTGAAAAAGGTTATAAAACCTAGGAAGGATTTTCTGACCTTTCCCTAAAGCAGTTCATAAGACCCTCATGTAAGAGGTGCCCTTCCTATTCCCAAGGAAAGGAATATTCTTATCTCTGAAGACACAGGGACACAGAAAAGAAGCTGAACAAACAGGCCTTGCTGAGTTACTCCTAATTTATTACCATTAGATCATACTCTTCGTTCTATCATATTTTTTTCACCACTCTCCATTTTTCACCAAACCTAGCATTAAAATACTCAGGTCTAACTATTTCTTTGGGTCTTGATTTCCTTATGAAGACTCCTGTGTCATGTGAAACTTAAATAAATGGATATGCTTTTCTCTTGTTAATGTCTTTTGTAATAGGGAACTCAGCCACGAGCCTAAGATGAGTAGAGAAAAAAGATATTTTTCTTCCCCTACAGACAATCTATACTTTCTAGTTTGACCTTGTATATGGGGGTGACATATGAGACTTAAAGCCTTATCTCACCACTTCCCCAACACATTTCACAAGATAACCCTGACATTTTTATGAAGAAGCACATTCATCCTGGGAGTCATTCCGAAGAGCAGCCGTGCAAATGTGTGCAATGGTGCCATATGCACTACTGTAATGTGCTCAACAAATATATCTTGGCCTCTTTCCCTGATGGCAAGAAAGCTGGAGTTGGAACCCTCAGCTAGGATTGAAAAGAAACCAAACCATATGATGCTTAGAGCACATTCCTCCCGTGAATTATAAGAATTCTTGGAAGTTTATGAGTATGTTCTGCATTAAGTTCCAGAATATTTATTAGCGTATCAGAATTACCAAAAGCACAGAGTAATTGACAGTCTTCCTGCTTAGGAGAGGGAGAGGAGCTATCTAATGTTCAAATGGGCTTCTTCAAGAGATAGCGAAAGATAACACAGAAGCTAAATGACCACTTGGAAGAAATGTTGTAAAAGGGGGTCAAATCATCACTGAGAGTCCAGATGGTAGGATTTTTGAGTCCATCCCACTCTAAGATTCTATGACTGTGGGCTTTTTCACATGCTTATGTATACTTTAGGGTAGAATTACCTCTTTTGTTCTATCTTTTCTTTCCAGTGCTTTGATGTTGCTGTGTGCCTGTGTGAAAGAAAAGGAAAGTGTGATAAAAAGGGGCAATGCTCTCAGCTTATAAACAAGAAAAGAAAAAACACCACTACAGTGCGGAGCTGAAGGGCTGTGAATTCATCAGTGTAGTCAGCCATAGTTATGACATCTCTCCAGTTCCTCAATCATTGTCTAATACTAACTAGAACATATTGTTGGATTAGCATACCTGTATTTCTTTTCCAAAAAATCTTTACCAAATGTGTCTGTTGGACATTCTGAAGCAGCAGTCAAAGATTGCTTGAATAAATCATTTAGGTGGGCTGCAACTTTAAAAATAGAAGTATTTAACTTTTATCCCCATTTCTTTACAGCATAACACACAATCAACACTTGATGACTCATCTAAGATGTTTTTTTAGAGCGTATATTAACTAGCAAGTGTTTACTAGAACTTCCATGACCTAGCTGTAATACAATGGTAAACCAAACTGCTTTTATGAAATATACTACTAGAAGACACGCATCTTATCGCCAAAATGTAAAATGCAGTGACATCTCATTATCCCATGATATTAGGGGAAACTGTGGTCACCTAACTGAATTTCCTCATATTGGAAGCACCAGATCTAAAGACAAATTAACAATCATAATGAAATATTGTTTTTCTAAACATTTACCTGCTCCCTGAATCTATGTATATGAATATAAGACAATAGTTGTATGATAATTTGGACAGTGATTCTCTGAGTTTATTCACAGAACATGGTCTCAGTGTGATGTCAACAGGATACTAAAAAAAGAAAAAAATTTCCATGTCCCATGGTTATATGAGCTTGGAAAACACTGGTACATACAAAGTTTCATTATTGCAGGACTTTTCTGCATCCTTAATTAGTTAATACACATTGTGATTTGCTAAGAGAATAAGACAATATGCAGCATTATCCAAACTTGTTTTTTCATAAAACTCATTTTTTGGTGGAGCTACCTCCCAGTCTAGTATTTTAGGAAATTCTCTGGGGCAATGTTGACTTAATAATGTCACCATTATTCGTATGTCAGGGACAGCTATAAGTATGCAAGAGGCTGTTTGTGTCCTGGATCTGTTTGCTTAAAAAATATATTTAATTTGTTCTTCACTATTGGGCAACTTGTGTGTTTACCTCTATTGTGCCTGTTTCCTTGTGCCAAAGTTACAACTATTACAGGGTAAAGTTGCTGATGAAGTATAAGGCACCTATTTAAATCTGAATTTCAGATAAATATTTTTTTTAGAACAAGTATGTTCCATATATATTTGAGATATGATAAAAATGTATTTGTTTATCTAAAATTCAAACTTAATTAGGCCTTCTATAGTTTAATTGCTAAATCTGGCAACACTCCTACAAGGGTCTCTCATGTAAAAGAGTGCCAACAGAGTATAAGGATAGGGAGACACTGGGGGTTGTAATGAACTCTCCTGTGATGGTCGGTCTAAAGGGACAGCTGCTAATCACCTTCAACCAAATGTCTCCACGGGTATTGTGATATTTTAAGAGGAGAAAAATCTAGATAAACAATAATAACAGAAACAATTGTACAAGCCAACACTGTGGAGAATACACAAAATATATCTGTGTGCTTGGCTGCCAGTTTGTGACCTCTGCCACATGGTCAATACATATATAATATAAAACAAAACAAAACTCCACCATATTCTCTACTGATTGTTTACTGTGAACTATAAAGCCATATAACCAAGTTTGTTAGGGCTGTGTACATATCAAAATAAATAAGCTTTAAAAGGGAAGATCTAAGAGTAAATTCCTTGTGCTGCATATCACGTAACAACAGTGCAAGGTTTTGGTGATAACTATGTAATTGCTCAAAAGTTCTGTGTGTGCCGTGGGGGTAGATATGGAGGGGAGGGCTGCTTGTTGGTTCACTATTTCCTTCCTATAACTTAGCTATGTTCTAAATAGTTCAGGTTAACATAAAAGTCAAATATCAACATTTTTCATTCAACAAATGAAAGTTAAAGATGAATTGGAGGCAATCACAGTACTCAAGGATCTCACAATTCAGGCAGAATAAAACATATAAATTATCAGTTACAACACACTTGGCCAATGTAGGAGAACAGAGATATATACGTACACGGTGCTTTGTTATCAGATAAGAGAATGGCTAATAAGTATATCTAAGAGCGATCCTTTGAAATTTGTAAATATAATCTAAAAAAATATTAAATGACAGTTACCTTCAGTTGCATGACTTTTTGTAGTTTCCTCCATTTTTGGGAAAGACTGAAATGAAGATAGAATTACTTAGTGATGATGATTACATTACATACAAAATTCACTTTGGTTAGAAGCATTCTTTATGTGCTCAAATTGATCTTTTATGAAAATTACTATAAAATGAATCAGTTTTTAACTTTTCTTTTTTTTCTTTTTTGCTTGCGAGTACAGAGATCGAATCCTGAACCTTGGTGTTTTTAGCACTATGCTCTAACCAACCGAGCTAACTGGCCAGCTTATGAATTATTTTTTTAATACCAACACAAAATTTATTTTATTTTATTTTTTTTTAGTCATTCCTTTTACCTGACAGATTTCAAAGAATGGAAATCATTTTAAGTTGTAGAAATTCCTTTTTCTTTTGCCTTCCTTTTTCATTTATTAATTCATTCAACATTTCAGTTAATATCAATTTCTTCTGAAGACAATAAAAACTTTCATTTAATGGCCTTCAGAATTATTTATGATCAAAGAAAGCACCTAAAAGGTATTTGGAAAATTCAATATGTAAAGAATCACATTTCCACAGTAATAAAAAATTACAAGGAGGTAGCAAATGCTTCATAGAAATGGCAGGAACAGCTATTCCTTACGACATTTTGTCTTGAAGCCTCTAATATTAAAACAGTAAAAACACTGGTGTGTAAAACATTTTCTCACCATAACCAGCTTGAGGAGATCTGCAGCATTGCCTCTCTCCTCCTCAGTTCTAGAATCTTTAACTGTCATTTCCTGTAGCTCATCTTCTTTCTTTAGAATATGGTTTATATAATCCTAGATCAGCAGAATAAAATAAATCAATAAAAGCTGGGAATAAGGTAGAGAGAGACACCAAAATGGTAACATCAACTTGAAATATTACAAAAAGATTAAAAATACTAAGTTCACAGTTACCAGTCAAGCAATCTGGAGAGGCTTTTCCTTAATATGTTAGTAAGCAAACACCTGAAAAGTCCAAGGGCCACAGGATAAAACTGTATGAGGACCCCAGAGGCCCTGCTTCTACCTCTGTGCTTCAGGGTTCTCATCAATAAAATAAACAGAGTTGGGTTAAAGGATTTCTAGTGACCTTTCAGGTACTGTCTTCATGATTCTGTCTATAAACACAAGTTACTTACTCTAATGCCTTTGCTTCCAAGAGAAATATACTTAAATCTTTCCATAAATATTTGATCCATTTCTATAAATAACGATCCCTTGCTTTATGCCAGATGCTGGGTACATAACCATAAACAAACAACTAATCTTGGTTCTAAGGGAGTTAACAAACTAGGGAGTTAGATGTTATGGATATGATCATACAATCGACTACATGTTTGCAAATTATTAGACCAGTTCCAAAGCCAACAATCCTTTTTGTCCATGGATAAGTATCAGATTAAAATGTGGTTCTATCTTTTTCCAAAGATCATTAGACTAGTTTTCCATAGAGTGAAGAAGCAGGAGGACTCTACTTTGGGGCTTCTTAATAATTCCTTCAGCTCTTGGGAACCATTCATTATTTTCTACCTTGCAACCTTCTACTCTCTGGAAGATTGACGTTTGTGTGCTGCACTAGATAAATATTGGTAGAATTACATAAGTTAGGTTCCTTGGGACACAGAGAGGAATGACTGTCCTGTTCCTGATTCTTTGGGGTCAGGTTACCTGGATCCCATTACCTTAAGGGAAACCTGCAGCCTCAGCTTGACCTCGTTCTTTATGACTTCATGTTGGATGAACTGACGCATCTGGAGCACTTTTGGGCTTTTGAGTACAGGGGCTGGGGCCCTCACTAGCTGTTTGGACCCAATGCAAAGGCCCTTCCAAACCTGAGTGCCAAATGGAGGTCCTGGAGTTTTCCTCTGTTAATGAAACAAAGCAAAAGATTCACAAAAGAAATCAGAATGTTTCAACATTAGAATTTTTTTTTCAACTGAATACTTATTTTGCAGATACTACACCAGGAACCACTTGTTAGAGATGCAACAGTGAAAAGCAAAAAAGATCTTAACTGATTTAATAACTTAATATCTGACAATATGCTGAACAAATTACATAAATTGCTTGCAAATGAAATGGCAAATCTTGCAAGATATAGGACTTCATGATTCTTACCCAAGATATTTTCTTTCATTCTTTAAAACACTATTGGTGGGTCCTTTCTAGTCTGACATAATTACAATTTTTATTTTCTAACATTGCAATTGCAAAACTGTGTGTAATCCTTCACAGTCTTATATGCTCAGTTTGATTATTTTTAATATGTGAAGGAAAAAAGGGAGTGTGAAAGACCTAAAACTGTGTGTCATCAAAAAAGAAATGATAGGAGGGAAGATTTCCGTGTGGCATAATGTCAGTAATTCCATAACAAGAGAAGTGTAACATGGATTACTCAGAAAGGATATTTTAATATTATAGAAAGATGTTCAAGGCTGCAATATAGAATAAAAGAAAGAAAACTGAAATGAGCTAGTCAGGTATATTCCTCTAAAATTCTATCACCACACCTACAAATGTTAAAATCTTCAAATACAAAACTCCTTGAGCCCATTAACAATTAACGTAAGGATGAAGATAGATGAATATTTAGGAGAAGACTTGAGACTCCGATGAATTGATGGATATATATGCAAAGAAAGTGACTTTTCAGTAGAAAATGTGTACCTCAACAGAGGGAAATGCTTCCCATGACCTTGACTGGAGATTAGGAGGAACAATTGTATCTAATTCCTTTTTCATTTGCCATGGCGATGCTTCATGGAAAGGACGAAGGACTGTGATGTTCAAGGCACCTGGTTCAAAGAGAGTTATCAGAAGATCAATTCTCCATCAAAATCATTCTGAGAAATTCAACATGCATTCACTAAATTCAGCAAACACTTTTTGTACTGCCTTCTACATAAAAAGATTAGAGAGTCACAGCGATTATGCTTAAGGACCTAACAAGAAAGGCGAATGAGGGTTTTAGTCACTAACATCGAGGGACTGGGTTTTGACCATCTAGAAGTATTCATTGACACCTCCCTGCCCCTCAGCAACCACACCCAGGTTCTGTCAGTTCTACCAATAAACATTTCTTGAGTTCATCGACTTCTTCCCTCTTTATGGGCCCTATATTACATCATGTGCCCCAGAAAGATCCTATTCTAGACTACAGCAGCCCATGTGTACTCTGTGAATGAAACTCCCCCTGCAGTCAGGGCAACTGTTTATGTTAGTCTGTGATGAAAACTCTTCTTTGACTTCCCATTGCTCACGAGATAAACAGAGTCATTAACGTTTTCTTGCCCCTGCCTCAAATTGCACCATTCTTCCTCTCTGTACTTCAGCTCCTTGGCCTCTCCACCTTCCCCTTCTCTTTCTCCAGTGCTTTATGCTTTCTCCTCTATGTTTTCTAAGAAATCTCTCCCTCTTACCTTAATTAAGCCTGACTCATCTACCAGCTCTTGGCTCAAGTGTCTTCAGGGAGGCCTCATAGACTATGTCAAGTTCCTTTGCTAGATGCTCTCATAGAACCATAGACCTTATCCCAATTTATAATTATTGGTGTGACTAGGTAATTAATGTTTATTTCCGCCGTTAAACTTACATGTTCCATGGAAGCAAGGTCCATGTCTATTTTAGCTCAGCATTGTATTCCTAATACCCAGCCAGTGTTTGCTAAGTAGAAACTTGGTAAACGACTCACTGACAGAGCATTTGAGACGAATTCTTACACTCAGCACAGTTCCACACATGCCCTGAACAGCGCCAGTCAGAGCCCCTCACTCAGTATATTTACAAAGAGCAAGGTATATTACGTCACACACATGCGCATTGATTGATACACTAAAAGATATAAGTGCACAGAGATGTAGGCATATTCATAACTGCACACAAAACTTATCCCAACAAAGAGAAAAAATAAAAAGAAACACCCCCCCCCCAGGCACAGCACGTAGGTTTTGTGCACAGACAACATGCAGGTTTATATCTATATTTAAATATACGTATTACATATATCGATGGTTCTTCCTTAGCACAGTATGTGTCTCTAACCTCTTATCAAACACTGATTTCTTTGAAATAGATGAAAATAACATGAATGCCCAATGAATATAGCTTATATAACCTATAATATATTTTAGGTTGGCATTGTTATGCGCACATCAAATGTACTTTCTTACTGTATTCAGTTTCAACAAGGCAACATCTTCAAAATAACAAAAAGTGAACTTAAGAGATATCTCACTTTTCTTTGGTTTTTCTTATCAAGATGAAATGAATTCATTAATAGAAGGAACCTAGGTACACACCTAAACACAGATACAAATCTGCTTACAGGTAGGAGAGGGACTCATACTCAAACAGTTGACACAGGCCACTGCTCAGATATACCTTGATAGAAACATAAATTCAAGTAGCTATGTAATATTGGCCAGGTGAGAAGTAGAGTTGAAAAGTGAGCAAAGGGGAAAAAGTAGAGAAGATGACTTGGGAGTGGATGGGAGAGGTGGTGAAGGGACACGGTGAGTTCCAGATGTATAGGTTCACTACCCGGCTGTTCCTGTATGGGCTCTTGGAGAACTACAGTCGTTGATTCTCCATATGCCATGGATAGATATTCTTCTATGTCACTGTCTCGAAGAAGTTCCACTCCTGATCCATCAGCATAGATCACAAAAAACCTATTTGAATAAATAAAAATCTAATCACACGAAGTATTCAGTAAAAATTCTTCTGTAGCTTAGAATTGAAAATAAAAGTCATGGTATTACCATTATTATTATGATTTTACCTGGGGACATGTTCACCATAGACTTGCAGATGATTTTTTTGAAGGTGAATAGACGACAAACTATCATAGCCCTCAGTTTCTACATTTAAATCATCTTCCAATTTTTTTTGAAGTAGTGTAGTTGATGCACGACCATCAGCCATGACCTAAGGGGGTATACAAGTATGTAAGCAACTAAAAGAAAAAAATGCCATAATCCTTACATTTCCATTGATTCAACTTGAGAGAGCAGGTGATCTTTTGGTATACTCAGGAAATCAGAGATATTTATTTGCAAGGCATCGTTCATTAAGTATAGGTTGTATTAACGAAAGCAAAACCCGAGGAGACAGCTACTAGGAAAGGAGGCCCAAAACCTTATCCTGTGAGGATTAGTACAAGGAATTGGCAATTTAAATGTGGAGGAAAGGGTACTCATGTGGTAGCTCAGAATCAGGACTCATGAGCAGAATATACAGGGAAACAGATTTAGTATCAATATGAGAAAAAATGTTCTAGTTATTATTACTGTGTAGATATGACACTATTGTTCTCCAGGAAGGAGTGTGGTTCAGGCTGAAAGACCACACCGAAGGGGATGCTCAAGAGAGGTATCAATACCTAGAAGAATGCTTAGCATGACACCCAGACATTTCAACCTACATGGTTTGGGGCTTTAAGCTTCTGCTTCAATTTGTTGTAAACCGAAATTTGTCAGCTTTAACTCACTCTGTGAAGAGTCTCAGTTACTTGGCAAAGAAAAAATAAGCTGGACCGAGGGCTGGTCTGCTTACCAAAACATAGTTAGGGATTCTGTGGTATGACCCTAAAACTAAAACATAACTTCACACTCACTAGCTGATAGACCAAATGCCACTGTTGGGTGAGGAGTAAAAGAAAAAATAAATGCCTAGAGCAGGGGTTGGCAAACCTTTTTGTCAAGGGCCAGATTGTAAATATTTTCGGGTTTGCAAGCCACTCTCTGTTGCAACTACATGCTCCACTCTGCTATTATTGTGCAAAGCAGACATAGACAATATGGAAACAAATGAGCATGGCTGTGTTCCAATACAAATTTATATAACAATACTGAAATTTGAATTTCCTATAATTTTTATATGTCCCGAAATATTCTTCTTTTGATTTTTCTAACCATTTCAAAATGTAAAAAAGCGTGTCATGGGCTGTATATAAACAAGGGGCCATGGTTTGCCAGTGCCTGGCCTAGAGGTAAGGGGATAGCGCAGTGTTGAAAAACACAGAAGCAGAAGATGGAGCCACAGAAAAACTGAGCACCTCTTCAGACTTCCCATTTCCCTTTTTTAACCCTACTAGATATTTCTCATCATGGTGTCTCTGCCTAGTCAAATAAACTTGCCTTCTACCTTGTTATTGGCTCTCACTTTAACCTGGGTACAGACCATTCTTATGTCATTCCTTTTGCTGGTGTTATTTTTAGATGTCTGCTAAAGTTTCTTCCCTTCTGTTCTAATTATTTTTTTGGCTTTTACATTTCTACTATCCCAGTCTTTGGGCTTTCCATCCCCCATAGAAGTATACTTGAGAATCAAAGAAAAGATATTGACATTCATCACTGCTTTCCCAAAGCACTGGCAGTAGGTGGATAACTAATCCCAAGGCAATTAAGGTAAAAAGCCACAGGCTGTCTCTCCATACTAAGGCTACACTTTACCTGAAAGGTGTTTCCCTCGGGATCCAGGACCTCACAGATAACCTCTGACGTGTGCTTCATAATGTACCTGCTGGCTCTGAGCTGCTCACGCTTTTGGAAAGGATGGTACATATCAGTGCTCGATTCATGGCAATATGTAGCTGAACAATCCCTATCAATATGAAGGCAGCCTGTGTTTGGAGGTAACACCTACAAGGGTAACAGAAAGAGAGAAATCTTTACAATTTTCTTGTTCAACTTGAGGGACTTGGATAATCATTTTAAGAAAATGAACATCCATAGATGCTAGTCACAGATCGTGTTTCCAGAAAGAAAACATTATTTATTTTTTATTATTTTTTATTTTTATTTTTTTCCTTTTTGTGTGACCGGCAACAGGATCGCAACCCTCAGTGTCGCACCCATACCGCAACTGGCAACGGGATCGCAACCCTCGGTGTCGCGCCTGCACCGCGCTCAACCAGTGAGCGGACCGGTCTCTATATGAGATCCGAACCCTTGGCGGGAGTGCCACTGCGCTCCCAAGCGCCGCACTCAACCGAGTGCGCCACTGGGCTGGCCCAGAAAACATTATTTAAGAGAAGGCTTAAGGTTGGGGAAGGACTACTTGATAAGAAGGCAAGCAGAATAATTAAGGCATATAATTTCTCTGTGTTCTTAGATTTTAGCTAACTCACTTTAGCATCTCCTCTAAATAACTGCCCAGTGCCCTCTTATTTCAGATATTTAATATATTTTAACTGAAGTAAACACACTCAGCCCTATTCAAAATATTTGGGATTGTTAGTGTTCTTGGAGAAAAAGTGTCTCTGAAAGAGTCAAAAGCCATGGGATGAATGCTCTGAGAAGCTTTTATTTGTCCTCACTCCTCTGGTGGCTGATGTAGTCCTTTAGTAATACCTTTTATGTAATGACTTCTAGTTCAGGCAGGCTTTTTTTTGAAGTATAATTTACCTATTATAAATTCACCCTTTATAAGCGTATAATTCAGTCCTCAAATTGAAAAAAAGTGTATAATTCAGTGTTTTTTAGTAAATTCAAAACCTTGTGCAACCATTACCTAGAGTTAACTTATTCTAGAACATTCTTATCATGCTATACCCCAAAGAAACCCTGATCCCATTAGCAGTCACTTTACACCACCCTTGTCCCCTATGCCGTGGCCACCACTAATCTACTGTCTCTGTATGTTTACCTCTTCTAAACATTTCATGTAAATGGAAGTGTGCACTACGTGGCCTTTTGTGTCCAGTTTCTTTCACTTGGTATAATGTTTTCTAGATTCACCCCTGTTGTAGTATGTATCAGTACTGCTTTCCATTTTACGGGTGAATAATATTCCACCGTATGGTTATATCACATTTCGTTTATCCACTCATGAGCTGATAGACATTTGGGTTGTTCTTACAATCTTGCTATTATTAAAAATGCTGCTACAAATATCTGTGTAAAAGTTTTTGTGTGGATGTAAGTTTTAACTTTTCTTGTACATATATCAAGAAGTAGAATTGCTGGGTCATATGACAACTATGCTCATTTGCTGGTGAACTGTCAAACTGCTTTTCCAAAGCAACTATACACCATTATACATTCCCACCAGCAATGTATGAGTGTTCTCCACATCTTACTAACACTTGTGATTGTCTTTTTTTTTTTTTTTGTCCTTTTTGAGACCGGCCCCCCCGCGCTCAGCCAGTGAGCGCTGTGAGCGCACCGGTCATCCCTATATAGGATCTGAACCCGCGGCAGGAGCGCCACCGCACTCCCAGCGCTGCACCCTCCCGAGTGCGCCACGGGCTCGGCCCTGTGATTGTCTTTTTGATTACAGGTGTTTTAAGGGTATGAAGTGGTATCTCACTGTGGTTTGATTTGCATCTCCCCAATGACTAATGATATTGAGCGTCTTTTTGTGTTTTATTTGCCATTTGCATATCTTCTGTGGAGAAATTCAAATCCTTTGCTCATTTTAAAAATGGGTTATTAGTATTTTTATAGTTCAGCTGTAGGAGTTCTTTACATATCCTATACACTAGACCATTATCAGCTATATGATTTGCAAATAATGTCTTCTGTTCTGTAGTTTATCTTTTTGCATTCTTGGTGGTGTCCTTTGAAGCATAAACTTTTTTTTTTGATTTTGATGAAGGTTGTGTTTTTGGTATTATATCCCAGAAACCATTGCCTGATCCAAGGACATGAAAATTTACACCAATGGTTTCTTCCATCTCTCACTTTCAGCACCTTCCTTGCCCCATAATAATCCATGCTGGATGAAAAAGGATAAGGGTAACCTTATCAGGAGACATGGGAGGGATAAACTGGCTTCAGCACCTTTCACAGTAACCGGTGTTTGTTGGTGAGATCTTTGTCCCTCATCTCTGGCTCTGAGCTCTAAGTATCTTGTGGCCCTGTATGTTATGTCTTGGCTCTGTGTCTGTTCTCCAACGAGGGAAAAGGTGGAAGCAAATTCTTCTAAGGCTAAGGGGACTGCAGCCTGACACTGGGTGGCTGTGTTCAATAGGAAAATACAGAAAAGTAGGAGGAGGTGCTAACAGTGTTCCTTCTTAATGTTCCAAGGACAAAACTTTGCTTCAGCTGGGTAAACTGCTGCCCCAGGACCACTCAAACCACATCCTCCCTCTCGTCCTGTTGGGACATTAAGTAGAGTAGGGATGGACTAGAGGTGTGACAGATGGGCAGTAAGAATGAGGGTAGAGGTGGCAGGAGGTGAAGCTGGTTTGGTAGGCACAGGCCAGATCCTCTAAGTGCTTCTAACATTCACAGTGCCCAGCACATAAGAGATCCTCAACAAACGCAAAATACATTTTGGTTTACAACCTTGATCCAGAACTACCAAAGCTTTGAAAAACAAGCAGGGCAATGTTTTCTGGAATGGATTGTACAAAGAAGATGAATAAGAGTTTGAGAAGCGGGGTCCGGCCCCTTGGCTCACTCAGGAGAGTGCAGCGCTGGTAGCGCCAAGGCTGCGGGTTCGGATCGTGTATAGGGATGGCCTGCGCAAAAAAAAAAAAAAAGAGTTTGAGAAGTGTATTTTCTGAGATCAGGTGAGAAAAGAAAGCATCAGTAGTCTACATTGCAGGGATTTTCACTGCCCCAGAGAAGTGGGTTTTTTTAGCCAGACACTTATCTTTGGCACTCCTCATTTTCCTCCTAGACCTACCTTGTACGTTCCCTGTGGCTTTGCAATAATGGATGTTCCATCCCCAAAGGTGGCACAACAGCTACTGTCCTCGCAGTTGGTGATAATGGTGGCATAGTGTGAGTTTTCTATCCGCATGCACTTCACCTGCCTGGTGACAGTCCGAGGACCTTCGACTGCAAGCAAATACAAGGTAAACAGATCTGACATGATGCATACATTGGGAAACAGACTTCAGCCTGTTGATTTTGCTGCTGTCTCCTGGCCATCTGGATTCCCCATGGGGAAAAAAAAAAAATTAGAAAGTAGAGACCAAGGCTGAGAACTCCATAAGTTTGGAGTGTGGCCCACTCCTTGTCAATTCAGGATAATTCTTCCAGAGTAAATTTTATTTAATTTAGTATACTGTCTTGTTCTCACTGTTCTTTTTATTATGAAAAATTGAAAACAACCAATTTTTGAATTTGAGAAATTGCAAAGCATAAAATATAACTTAACCACTCATATATTCACCAATCAAAATTTACACTTGTTAGTATTTTGCCGAATGCTTCAACATTTTTAATACATATACAAAAAAAATTATAAAGTTGAGGTTTCTCCTTATGCCTGGGTTTATTTCCCTCTTGAAATCCATTTTTACACTTTTACATAAATACATGTATCAAGAACAATATATAATATTTGCTCTTTAAATTTACATAAATTATACATTACTTTTTGTAATTATATAATTTCTGTATCTATCATTTTACAACTGCTTTTTTCATTTAACAATGTTTTTGAGATCTCTTGCCATATTGATATATATATATATGTTTGAGCACATTTACGTACATGTATGTGACTTTTTAACCACTATGTGGTATTCTTTTGTAGGAATATACCACAGTTTATTTTTCTATTCTGCCATTGGTGAACATTTATGTTTCCTAATATTTCCATATAATATTCAATGTTTCAAATAGCACCCTTGTACCTGTTTTCTTGTGCAAATGTGTGAGAGTATTTTTTTATACATATGCAGAAATAAAGTTAGTGCATCATATTATATACTTGGTTTTACTGGGGGGGGAGATAAGGTCAAAGGGTATAAAGTTGCAGTTATATAGGATGAATAAGTCTAGAAATCTAATGTACAGCATAAGGATTACAGTCAATAATATGGTACTGTATAATGAAAATTTTCTGAGTATAGATGTTAGGTGCTCTTTTTTTTTTTTTTTTTTTTTTTTTTTTTTTTTTTTTTTTTTTTTTGTCTTTTTGTCTTTTTTCGTGACTGGCAACAGATCGCAACCCTCAGTGTCGCGCCCGTACCGGACCGGGACCGGCAACGGATCGCAACCCTCGGTGTTGCCCCCGCTCCTTGCTCAGCCAGTGAGCCGCCGGTCTGCACGTGGGATCCGAACCCTCGGTGGGAGCGCCGCCGCGCTTCCCAAGCGGCGCACTGTAGCAGTGCGCCACCGGGCCGGCCCTAGGTGCTCTTAACACACACAAATACACAAAAAAGGTAAATATGTGAGGCGATGGACATGTTAATTTACTTGATCGCAGTAATCATTTCACTATGTATATGGACATCAGAGCACAGGCCGTATACCTCAAATATATACAATTTTAAAAAACTGCCATTAAGGAAAAAGGAGTCAGAAAATAATTTGTTTTTACATATGTTGTTTACATTTAGGTTAGGATGGCGGGCTATCAGACTCTTTGAGCAGGCTCCAGTTAATCAGCAGCTGCAGCTTCCTTTTCTCCTATATCACCTTTCTGACAACGAGAGACGTGCTCAAACTTGAAAGAAAACCTATATGAAGTCATGTACTTGTCAAATTAGATGCCTTGAGGAGCAAAGAAGATAGGTCTGTGAGCTACAATGCAGGATGGATGAATCATGATGATTAGATTTTTAGTTGCCACCAATCTGGACCATAGATCTTTAGTGGTAAAAATGGGACACTGTTACTATTCAGCCAACTAGAGTTGTCATCACTTTTGTCTCTGTTGAGGATAAATATCATAATATAAGGTTCTAATGAACTCTCATGTTCATTGCAGCATTATTCAAAATAGCCGAGATTTGGAATCAAAGTGTCTACAAGTGAATGAATGGATAAAGAAAATGTGGTATATATACACAATGAATCCTATTCAGCTTTAAAAAAGAAGGAAATCCTGCCATTTGTAACAACCTGGATGAACCTGGAGGACATTACATTAAGTGAAATAAGCCAGGCACACTAAGACAAATATCGCATATATGTAATTTATATGTGGAACCTAAAAAAGTTGAACTCATAGAAGCAGAGAGTAGAATAGTGGTTATCAGGGTGGGGGGAGTACGGGAAGATGTTAGTCATAGGATACAAAACTTCGATTAGATGGATATGTAAGTTCAAGAGATCTATTATACAACATGGTGACTATAGTAAATAAAAATAAATTTTGAAAATTGCTGAGATACATTTTAAGTGTTTTCGCCATAAAACATAAGTGTGTCAGGTAATGAATGTTAATTAGCTTGATTGAGCTGTTCCACAATGTATACGTATTTCAAAACATCATGTTGTGAGATAAATATATACAATTTTTATTTTTAATTAAAAAATTAAATTAAATTATAAGACAAGTAGCAAAATAATAATAATAATAATAAAAGGTCCTAATGGGCTCTGCTTTGAATTGCATTAGTGTTCTTTGGCTGGCTGACTTGATCAAAAAAATAGTTTTCTTATGTGTGTGTTCAACCATCAGTAAGGATTTTACTTGTCTTATGCTAAAGAGTTATAATATATCATCATGTATTTGAAAAATAAAACTTACTTGTTTCTTGGTAATCTGGATAAATAAGATGGTCTTCATAAACTTGATAAAAGGTTGTGATTCTGGTACCATCAGCATGATCCACTATCCGAGTACCATCTTTCTTTTCAACAATGACCACTTTGTCTTCTCGAGTTGTCATAACCTGAACATGTAAAGGCAGAGCATAATCATTTCACCAGGTGGTTAATCCTAGTGCACTTATTTTTATGCCCCATTGAAACAAATATGGCACCACCAAAATCCTGGTTATATAATCCAAGAGAAAGTTTTATCTCATCTACCTGATTTGACCCTGACAACAATCTTGAGAGGCAGGCAGTGATGCCTCCATTTTATGGATGAGGAAAGTTAGGCTTAGAGAAGTTAAGAAACTTGCTCATGGTTTCTCAACAAGTAGGTATCAGTAATCCCTTTTGGTCAGGTGGAGAGTATTATTGTGGAAAATGGATAGAAGGTCTGAGAAGAAAAAAATAGCTGTATCACCCAGGACAGAAAGACAAAGGATAGCCACTTTGTCAGCCCAGTATGTTCCAGGTCTATTACAATGCAGTCCAACTGAAGACAAATTTATGGAGTGCTGACTACGTGTCCTATAGCTGGTGTAAAAGACTCAAGTTCAATTCCCTATTTTCTAGGAGTAATAGACTCAGAAGGGGGATATTCATTAAGAAAGTTAGTAAAGGTGCCATTTGAAGGGCCACGGGTATCTGTAGTGAGAGTTCTGACCTGGTCCGGCCCCTGGGTGAGGAAGGGCTGCTGAGCTTGGACGTGGTGTGTCTGTGCAGAGAGGCAGCATGAGGGTGGCATGTGCTAAAGACCAAGGATACCAGGGAGGGGTGGGGAGGTGGCAGGAGATGAGACCAGGAGGCTAGGGGCCAAGCCGGAGGAGGCTTTAAGCCATATTAAGGACTTCAAACTTTATTCTAAGGGGAGTAAACCACTACTGAAGGGTTTTAAATACGCAGACTAAAGTAGGAATCTCAGAAACAATTCAGCTAATCCTGGCAAGTCATTCAGTCTGAAAGAACAATCAGCCCCTTGTATACTGTAGCTAAACAGCTGACTTGTTGTTATGAACTGGACGTTTATGTCCCCCCAAATTCATGTGTTGAAATTGTAACCCCAAAGCTGATGATATTAGGAGGTGGTGTCTTTGGGGGATGATTATGTCTACCCTCATGAGTGGGGTTAATACTTTTATAAAAGGGACCCCAGGGAGCTCTTGCACTCTTTCCACCATGTGAGGATACAAGGAGAACTCTACAATTTGCAACCTCAAGAGGGCGCTAACTAGACTGGTCCCTGCTGACACCCTGATCTTGCAGACTTCCAGACTCCAGATTGCTAGAAATAAATTTCTGTTGTTTACAAGCCACCAAGTCTATTGCACTTTGTTATAGCAGTCTGAACTGACTAAGATCCTTGTGAAGCTCTAACCTCGTGCGTGCGTGCGTGCGTGTGTGTGTGTGTCTACAGATGGGGTGGACACGGAGGTGTTCATCCAAATCCTCTTCGAGAAAGGACTTGCTGCCCAGCAACAGGGAGTGCAGTTAACAAACAGTCACCAGCTCTCAGCTTTTTCGGCATCTGCCTCAGCTGCAGAGTGGATGCTTCACTAGCTCATGTCCTTCACAGGTAGCTGCATCCAGAGACTGAGGGAGATGGGGGTCTATGAGTATGGTCACATCTACCAGATTTGGGACATTAGGACAGGCAATACTTGCTCTTGACCTCCCCACTGGGTTGACCTTGGCTTTGTTGTGTTTGCCCTACTGTTCAGCTTCCTCCTCTGCCCATTCCTGCCTTCCCTCTTCCTTTCACAGATGGTGTCCCTAATAAATTTCTTGCACCCCAAACTCTACCAGAGTGTTTGCTTCTGAAGAGATCAACCTACAACTATGGTATTATAAGTTACACAATGCATATTTAAATCATTGGGCATTTTCTAAACTTGTACTGTCCTAAGTATAAGAGATACAATGATTCATTGAAGAGTCTGGATGGATGTGAGAGTGTTTGTTACCTCTTTTTTTGACTCAAATGTCTAGAGTTATCAGGAGCAGGTGATTTTCACCTTCTTATCTCTTTACGGGAGACAGAAATTATTATTTAGGAGAGAAATTCATACTGACCATTATTTTAGGTTCTTATCATTGACACTCTCAGCCAGGAACGTATAACAAGAAACACTGCTGTATAGCATGGTGGTCGAGAGCATGAGCTCTGGAGTTAAGCTGCCTGAGTTCAAATCCCAGGAGTTTCATTTTTATATGATAAACAAAACCATTATTTTTATACCACTAATTTGTCACTTAACCTTATGCTACAAATAAAATCTTTTGTACAGTTCCTCTGTGGTGTTGAATTATTGAGTTATTTAATGTGAGCATGCCTTATCTCCTTAAATATACCAGAAATTCTTCAGAATCAAGGATCATGAACAAATTTCTATCACTCACTGCAGATGGACACAACGAAGTAGAATAGGACATCATAGTCTCTCACTTCCAGAAGAAAAGACAGACATGCAAGTACATTCAACATAAGGAAAGACATCACACCATTACTCATAAATATCTTAAAAGTAGTACAGAAAAATTTGTGACCTACCACTCACTTCAAAAATTAGTATGTCATTCTAACCCAGTTGTGACCACAAAAAAGAAAATTAGTATTTCAAAATACTCTGTATTTGTTAAATATACCCCTCATGATCCACATGATGGTTTTATATTTGGGAAGAGGAATCCATACATCCACTACTTAACAAATCTTTATTGAAAATTTATTATTTACTGGGCACTCTTCTATGTATTGTTTCAGAACTCTACTAATTAAAAAAAATTATAATATACAATAGTTTGCCATACCGTTCCGTTGACAGGATCTGTGGCTTTAAAGGATAAAAAAGGGGCCAAATCCTCTATTCTTTCTAGTCCTTTGGTGCCAATCCGGTTTCCTTCAGGTGTGGTTGTATACCAGGTACCCATGTGACCCTCCATAGGAGTTACTGTTTGAACTATTTCTTGGGGATGTTCATGGATTTCATTCTTATGTGCCATTGATGACTGATTTTTGTGACCTTTTCCTGTAGAAGTCCAAGTAAAATCAAACACAACAATATAACTATAATATCAATTTTATACATCATTCATTAAGTTTGATAAAGTGTTAACTACCTCAGACACTATGGCATAAACAATTCTAAGTGATATTTATCCATTATACTATTTTTTTAAAAGGGAAAAATATCAGGTGATAAACACCTTAATTGTGGCACTTGAGTCTTAACTAGATTCCCATCATTTTCCCCTAAACATTTACACACATACACAGCTCACTCTTTTTGACACAAAAGCCATTCTGGTCAATTTCTATACACTTTTGAGTCTTGCCTGTATGTTCCTAGATCCCAGATTTGGGGTTCTGTACTCTGGCTTTTAAAGCCTACCTTTTCTCCCATATATCCGTCAAACCTTCAGGCTCCTTCTTTTGACTTATTGGATTCTAGCATCTACTATATTTTTAACTCTTGGTTCCCCTGATTTTGTCATTTTGTTGGTGATAGATAGGAAACATTTTTCTTCAACCCTGGATCTGAGGAGTTTTATCAGCCAAGCACACCCTTGGCCTCTCATTAGAGGGGAGGAATCTGTACAGTTTAATTACTACACTGACAATCATCTGACATGTCCCTTCCCCCACTACCGTCCATTTGGAACTGGAAGATAAAACCTGAAGACATCTTCATGGAACTCCATGACCTATATCTAAATTCTTCTACCAGGATAGATTTGCTTCATTTTCATGAATAATAACTTATCCATATATGGGTTTGGCAGTATTGTCTATGGCCATACCACCCTGAATGCGCCTGATTTTGCCTGATCTTCGAAGCTAAGCAGTGTCTGGCCTGGTTAGTACTTGGATGGGAGATTTGCCAGTGCTAGCAAAGATGAGATAAACACAGACCCAGAAACAAATTGCAAGCAAAGGTAGTAAAGAATTGTTAACTTTAGGAAGATTCTCCAGATGCAGACCATAAAATATGCATCAGGGCATGAATCTTAGCCTAACAAATACGGACTCAGCTATTGGGGGAACCAAAGAAGACAGACACATCAAGTTAAGTGCTTTCATCATGCTAAGATTTAGTTTGGACCTATTTACACTTCCAAAACATTGGCAGAGTGTGAAAATGGTGTCACTTTCAGAATAGGTGGAGGGAAGATCTTCCAGAAATGGTAGCAAAACTTTAGGAATTATCTTTTCTTCTACTTCCACCCTTTTCTTCCTCTTTTTCTGCCTTGTCCTTCCCTTCTTTCTTTCTTTCTTTCTTTTTTTTTTTTTTTTTAACTCAAAAGAGATGATCCATGAAAAGGGCATCTGGCACAGGGGATACAAGAAATAGAATAAGGTGAGAAATTGCCTGGTGTGTGCCTGGTGTGTTCAGACAACTTCTAGCAGGCCAATGTAACCAGAAGATATATTTCAAGCTGATTTTGATTGAGAGGAGAGACTGGAGAGGTAGGTACTGATTCAATCAAGTGGGCCTTTGCAGAATGTTAAAGACCTTGGAATTTTTCCTATAGGTGATATTTAGGAACTAAAGAATTTTAAGAGGGATAGTGATGTGGTCAGAAGATTAGTTTGATACTTTTGGCAGGAATATGGAGAATTAATAGTAATGAAAGCTGGAAGAAGAGTCACAAAGTTTTAAAGTAGCAGAAGTTAAAGATGGTTGTAGAGATAAACAAGTGCAATTTTGGTACAATTGTAGATTGGGGGATAAAGTTAGATATGAAAAACTGTGGATGGATTTGGGGGATAAGAGAATACAAGGAAGAAAGAGTCACATGAAGATTCTGAAATTTTAATTAATGACTGTCTTCCATTGTTAAGTATATGGGTCAACAAAGCAAGGAAAACTGATGAAGGATCAGACCAAAGACAAAAGGAAATAAAAAACAGCCATGGTTAGAGTTCAATTTTCAGCAACATCACAAGCTAGATAACAAAAATTCCACTGAAAATAACTAAAATTACTGAAAAACATCTTTTAATCAATTTTGAAAGTGCCTGTGAACTGGCAACTATGAACAAGGTCAACGCAAGCCAAGGACTGAGTCACAGTGGAAACCCAAAGAGGTAAAAATAACAATGAAGTTGGCTTTTGCCACATGGGACTTTGTCAAACAGGGCGATTTTGAGAACTTGTTTACTCAGTGTTGTGGGACTTAGAGACAGATAAAAGCCAGAGCCTATTCAAGATGGATGGGGAGTTTAGCATGAGAGACCTCAAAAATCTGAGACCATAAGGGTTATATACCCTCAGACTAAGTGTGAATTATTTACAGAAACAAACTAATGATTTTTTCCCACTACACTCCAGGACTGCCAGAAGACTTGTCTGTGTTCAAACTTGGTGCTGAGCAGAGAGGACAAAAAAGTACTTCGAGGCTGTATAACCACAAGCAGATCCTTTTATAAGTTTGAAGAGAAAATTCACAGTGGTTGGGTGGCACCCCCAGAAATCTCTTAAATTCATAATTTAATTTAAAGTAATTCAAGATTATTTGTTCCCCTACCACCTGCTAAAATCCTTTCTGAAACCAAAATCCTTTCTAAAGAAATTCTCACCTTTACACTAGCCCAAAGAATTTAGAGTTAAATCAATAAGAAAAAAAAAATAATCATCTCATAGTCAAAAAGTACCAAAGACACCATGAAACAAGGCACTTCAGGTGAGAGCCAGAAAAAACAACAGAAAATAGAATTAGACTCACAATACTTTAGATATTGAAATTATCAGGCACAGAATATAAAATCTGTGCTCGATAATGTAATTTCAGAAGTAAAAGGGGGCCAGAAAATACTAGTAAAGAGAAGACAGCAAAGAGAAGTCTTAGGTATAAAAAAAGTGATACTGAAATTTTTTAAAAAATTGACATACAGGTTTAACAAGAGATAAAGCATAGTTTATGTTTTTATTTTATTTTTTTGTCTTTTTCCATGTCCGGCAACGGTTCGCAACCCTCAGTGTCACCCCCGTACCGGACCAGGACCGGCAACGGGATCGCAACCCTCGGTGTTGCCCCCGCACCTCGCTCAGCCAGTGAGCGGGAACCGGTCTGTATGTGGGATCCGAACCCTCGGAGGGAGCGCCGCCGCGCTTCCCAAGCGGCGCACTAGCGCAGTGCGCCACCGGGCCAGCCCCATAAAGCATAGTTTAAAAAAGAACTGAAAGATTGACCTGAAGTAATTACTTAGAATGAAGCTCAGACAGCCAAAGCAATAGAAGCCATAGAAGAGACGTTTACACATGTGAGTATATGTTTAATGGAATTACAGAAGGGGAGAAAGAAATGGATCAGAAACTATATTTCAAGAGATGATTATTGAGAAAATTTTAGAACCAATGAAAGATTCTAATCTATGGATTCAAGAAGCTCAGTATATTTTCATTTAAATAAATAAAATAAAATCTACAAATAGTGAAATCATACTGAGATTGTAATTAAAAAAAAAAAACCAGAATATTTTAAAGGCATTTAGATTATCTTCAAAGCCACTACAATTAAACTGACAGCTAACTTTTCAACAGCTACACTGGAAGAAAGAAGAGTATGGAGGATTATTGTCAATGTATTGAGAGAAAATACTTGTCAATATAGAATTGTGTACCCAGTGAAATTATCTTTCAAGAATGAAGCAAACATAAAGACGTTTTCAGAAAATATCAGTTATACTGTTTTCCATAATGGCGATACTAATTTACAGACCCACCAACAGTGTACGTGTTCACTTTTCTCTGCGTCCTCATCAGCAATTGTTATTTTTTGTCTTTTTGGTAATAACCAGTCTAACTGAGCTGATATCTCATTGTGGTTTTAATTTGCATTTCCCTGACGGTTAGTGGTGATGAGCATTATCTCATATACCTGTTGGCCATTTGTATGTCTTCTTTTGAGAAATGTTCATTAAGGCTTTTTTTTGCCCATTTTTAAATTGGATTATGTGTGTTTTGTTTTGTTTTGGTTTTTGCTATTGAGTTGTTTGAGTTCCTTATATATTCTGGATATTAACTCCTTGTCAGATGCATAGTTTGTAAATATTTTCTCCTATTCTGTAGTTTCCTCAAAAAATTAAAAATAAAACTACCACATGGTTCTGTAATCCCACTCTTGGGTATATATCTGAAGGAAATAAAATTAGTATGTAGAAGAGATATTTAAACTCCCATGTTTATTGCAGAATTTTAAAAATATTCATCTATATGATGCTCACAAGAGACACATTTAAGCACAAATCACATAAAGTGGAATATAAATGTGGAAAAAATTATATTGGTAAAGTATTAAACAATAGCTGGTACGGCTATAATAATATAAGCAAAATGGACATCAGGGCAAAAGAATGAATAATGCATAATTATTAATTCATGAAAATTATGCATTTATTCATGAAAATGAATAATTGCATATTGAGGAAAGGTTAAATTTACCATAAAGATATAATACTTCTAAAGTTGTAAATGTCTAAAAACCATGTCCTCATAATGTATAAAAGAATCTGACTGTGCTATAAAAAAAAGACAAATTTCACAAATAAAGAAATAAAGGTTAAATTTTAAGGAGCACAGCACTGAAGAGACTATCTATTCTTTCAGGAAATTTACTTCTGCTGAATAAACTGATATGCATACAGTAGATTTAAAAAATCTATAAGAATATAGAATAAGAGTTGGCAAATTTTTGCCTGTAGGCAAATAAGGCCTGCTGTCTCTTTTGTGCAGTTCATGAAGTAATAATTATTTTTACATTTTTAAATAGCTAAAAAACTTAAAAGAAGAATAATATTTTATGACACGTGAAAATTATATGAAATTTAAATTTTAGGGCCCATAAATAAAGTTTTATTGTAACGGAACAGAACCAGACTTATTTAATCATGAACTGTTCATGGCTACTTTTATGCTTCAATGGCAGAGTAGAGTAGTTGTGACAGAGACCACATGGCTCACAAAGTCTACAATATTTACTATCTTGCCCCTTACAGAAAAGTCTGCTGAACTCAGGTAAAGATCTGGACAACACAACTAACAAGTTTAATCTAATAAATATAAAGACAAAATTATATCAAATAACCACAGGATATATGCTCTTTTCAAGCACAGAATGTTTAAAAAACTTGACCATATATGAGACTATAAATCATGTTTCAACAAATTCCAAACAATTAGTTAACATCAATTATAAAAACAAACTAGAAACACTTCAATGGTTTGGAAATTTGGAAACAAGTTTAAATAATTCGAGGGTCAAAGAAAAAGTTATAATGGGAATTGCATATTATATAGAACTGAAAAATAATAAAAGCACTAAATATTTCTTGTGGGATGGGAGAAGCACTCCTGGAATGACAAGTAAGAACCAGTGAAAATCCATAAAAATGATGACAACACTGGAAAAAGTCGTCAAAATAAATTTTTTCAAAACTTTGGAAAAAACCAAAGAATTGCAAGAATCTGGGGAATAATTAAAGAAAAATGACTGTATCTCGGTAAGAGTAGATGCTTTGTGGTGTTATAACTTTTTACATTTTTGATCAAATATTATTTATGGAATTTTATTCCATGGATGGAATATTATTCTGTGATTGAAAGAAATGGACTATAAAGCCATAAAAAGACATGGAGGAATCTTAAATGCATATTACCAAGTGAAAGAAGCTGGTCTAGACAGGCTACCTCATGTGTAATTCCAACTACATGACATTCTGGAGAAAAGCAAAGCTATAGAGACACTAAAAAGGTCAGTGACTGCCAGGAGATCATGGAGGGTAAGGTATGTATAGTTCAGGGTGAGGAAGATAAGAAGGAATTTTGGGGGGAAATGCATGAATCTACCACTGAAGTATTATAAACAATAATTTCATCACCCTAAAAAATCCCTGTGCATTTCTTAAAACCCATGGAATATAAACACCAAGAGTGAATCCTAATGTAAACTGTGGGTTTTAGTTAATAATAATGTATCAATATTGGTTCATCAATTGTAGCAAATGTACCACACTAAAGAAAGATGTACTTAATAGGGGGAACTGTGAGTAGGGAAGAGATGGGAGTATATGGGAACTCTGTACTTTCTGCTCATTTTTTTCTGTAAACCTAAAATTGCTCTAAAAATAGTCTATTAATTAAAAAAAGTGAGTGCATCATCTTGGATGGGACAGCTGTGAAGAAATCTAGGACATGTGTGCTGGAAGCAGAAGTCCTCTGGAACCAGGTTAGGCTTTTGGAGAAGTGGCTACACAGACTAGTTTTATACCAAGTCCTCTGGTGTCAACAAAAGAGGGAGTCTCAAGGTGGGAAATTGGAAAATTATAGGGAGTACAGAACTTTCATTTACTTGTCCAATAAGGACCTTTCTGCTACTACTGAAGGAAAATTTGTTTTACTAAACTTTGAGTAACCAAAAAAGGAATTCAGTTTGCCTCCATAGAAAGTTACTGGGTATTGAAATTGACAAAGAAGATTAAAACTTGGTTTCAGATCATCAAAGGCATATGAGAAATAGAGAAAAATTTGTAAGGCATGAAAGACGGTGTAATTTACAGGTTAATTGCTCAGACTCAAATCCCAGCTCAACCACTTGCTAGCTGAGAGACCACAAGGAAGTTACTTAACCTCTCTGTCTCAACTGTCTTATCTGCAAATCAGGGATTATTAAATCAGTCAAGATGGCTGAATAGATGGTCCCTAGCATCACTCTCTCCCACAAATCAACCAATTTACCGCTATTAAAAAGCAATGACAGCCAAGCTGGAGCCACTAGAGCTCAGGGGAAGAGGAGGAGAGACCTACAGAGTTCACGAAGGCAGGAGAAGCCATCATGAGAGAAAGAAAGGACCACTCCAAATGTTTGGAGCTCTGGCCACTTCAAGGCTGACCATGCTGAGCACACAGAGCATGAGCTGGCAAAAGCTTCAGCTGTGCCCTTTGTATGAAGTCACTTGGAGGTGGCAGGGAAGAAGAGGGCCTTGGTGGCCCCCAGGCCAACAAGACCAATAACAGGGACCCACATAGGAGCAAGGAGCCACAGACAACTGAAAAAAGCAGCCATTCAGAGGCAAATGAGTCATCACAGGGGACCAGCACATAGCCCATCCATTGGGAAGTGTTTGGAGTGCTGGCAGTGGGGGAGACAGGTCCACCTGGGGAACACTGGGGCACAGCAAGGACAGCTGATCTGCCTCCCAATCAGCACAGGACCACTCAGTGTAGACTGGTCAGGAGTATAGAATTGCAGGGGGTGCAGTTTGCTGAAAAGTCTCAGGCCCAGACCAGAGTCCCCACACAACCCAAGTGTACCAGACCTCACCAGACCCAGAAGTACATACAAGGTCAACAATTGAAATCTGAGCTGCACGAAAAGCCTTCCCCAGGGAATGAGCAGCAAAGCAACAATTTAGCTCAACCACAGGGCTCAAGTGCTGGTCCCCACAGGAAGTTCCCACATTTTAAAGAAATAAGCAAAGGACAACAAATTAGTTCCAGTGCAGAGTTTAAGAGGTGGGAACAGTGAATAATTCAACACAGAACTGAAAGAAAATACAAAATATTCACAGATCAGAGATAAACTTTGACATTAACTAGTAAAGGTCTAACACCACCAAAGAACACCTATAAAACCTAGAAGGAACAGCAGCTTTCTGGGCTCCTGAGCTGGTGCAGTGGGGGGCTGAGGGCCTCAGCCATGGCCCCCCAACATGCGCACCAAGCCCAGTGATGACTGAGCTGCTGCTGGAAGCCCCCTGGTCTCCCCTGCCGGAATGAGGGGGCTGCCATGGGCCTCGACCATGCCCCTCCTATCTCTTCCTCCCATGCTATTTTCCTCCCCCTTTCCCTCTCCCACTCCCCTCCAACTGCTTCACAGCATCTTAGAATGTAAAAAAAAATAAATAAATAAATAAAATAATAATAATAAATAAATTAAAAAATGTATACCTCACAGGGTTGCTGCGAGGATTAGCTGATTTAATAAAAATATTTTGAATTGTTCTTGGCACACAATATACATCTCATATACATAAAGATATCTTACAAATTAATACAAAAATGATGATCACCCTAATAGTAAACCAAGAAAAGATGTGAATAGAAAATTCACAAAAGGAAAGAAAGCCCAGTAAACATCTTTAAATATTTAACCTCTCAGTAATCAAAGAAATGCAAATTAACATAATAATAAGATGCATTAATTATCTATCAAATTCAATAAGATTAAAAGAACGGTAATATCTGGCATTGGCAAGGGTATGAGGAAGTAGACATTTTCATAGCATACTGGTGGTAAGGGTATAAATTGGAAATACCTCTCAGGACAGCAATCTTCCAATTTAGATTATGGCAGACACTGTTGGTTGCTTACCCAGCTGCTATTCACCACATTTTTCCTTACTAGTACTGCTCTTCTTGTGAGAAAAAGGTCAAAAGTGTCAGATACTTGCTTTTCCAGCCGAGGTCCCCAACCAGGTGTAGTCAATGAGATATAAGGGGAGGTCTGTTGGGGCTGGGGGATAGGGGTGAGAATATTGTCCTCCCTGATAAAGAGAGACATTTGAAGAAATCTCTTGTAATCACCCTCTTTCCTTTCTGCTTCGGAAGTTGCTATGTGAGGACCTCATGTCTGGAGAAACTATGAAGAAAAGGTCAAGAGGATCATAGAGATGCCTGCTTAGAATCTTGACATCATTCATCTGCTTAACCAATCCTAACAGCCAAGGCATTATAGCTAATGTTGTGTAAGAATATATAACAGCACAGAAAAATGTTCATTATGAAAAAAGCAGTTAATGAAACAGTATGTAATTCTGTGGTTGCAGTAGAAATTCACATGTATGTATTTATGCATATAAATATATATAAGTATATTCACAGAAAAACTGTAGAGGTGTAATAATAATGATACTGAACACTTGTTATTCACTTGAAGACTTTATTAAATCCATTATAAATTGAGAGGCTTCAGCTGTTACCTTTCTTTGTGATGGCAATCTCAGATGGTACTGTTTCTGATTTTTGCTGAGAAATTGAATCCATCAAATCTCCACTGTGAGGGCTTGTTGGCATTTCAGGAGGAGGATAAATAAGTCCTGAATCAGGACTACTGCTCACAGCACCATCTGCAAAGAGAACCTGAAGGAAAAATAAAAATTCTCAGCATTTTCAGAAGCAAGGAAGAGGCTGTTTAACAATAAACATTGTGTGTCAAACTGAAATAGGTTCGAAATAATCAAAAGAAGAAACGCTGTTTGCAGACCTCCAGAATCAGCATCACAAAGTATATTATAAAAGGTTAGATTTGAAACTCAGATACAGTAGCTTAACAACTAGCACAATTATATTATTTCATATTTTCCATTTACCTTCTATTTTGTCTTTTTTTATTTCCTGGTTTTTGTTGGATTGATTTGAGTTTTATTTTTCCATTTTTCTTTCCCCTATGCAATTGGGAAATTATACATTCTATTTTAATTTTTCTAATAACTACATTTAAAATATTATCACATGTTTAAATGTTTAGTTTCTATTAATATTTAGTTATGTATATTATCTCTAGGTACTATAGATACATCTATACAGCATCAGCATCTAATGAACACTCCTAATGAACAGGACAAGCACCACCATCAATGTTGCTAATGAGAAGTCAAATGTCCTTTTGATTCGTAGTCTTTCCTAAGTAACTGATTCCTTCAGGAAGCTTTTAGGATGATCTATCTATGCAGTCCTAAAGTTATATGATGACATGTTTAGATGATCTTTTAAAGATAATTACTATCAGTTTTGATGGGCACTTGGTTACCCTGTTTAATCTGAAGTATTTTTTTTAAGTTCTGGGAAAATTTCTTATGTTGTATCTTTGATTATTTCCCCCCTTAATTCTCACTATTTTCTTCTGGAAATTCTATTATAGATCTCTTTTCCATGTCTTTTAACTTTTCTCTCCTTCATAATCCACCTTCTTGTACTTCTTGATATTTAACAATTATTTTTAATTTCTAAGAACTCGTTTTTTTCCCCATAGAAACTTTAAAAATTGTTATTTTACAGACTGTTAACCTTTCAAGTCTTTGCCTATATTATTTTTATTCACTTTTAATTATTTTTGTGTAAGTATTCACTCTTATTTTTAGGTGCTATTTCTTTAATTTATTGAATCGTGTATTTTATTTTCAGGGGATGGGTTTCCCTGCAAGGCTGATGATTCTTAGGTGCCTGGCCATATTTCTCATTGAGGATCCCTTTTTACTTCTTGGTGGTATAGTGTGTGGTCATAGGAGCTCCTCCCTTGTGATCACTGGGAAGGGATGGAGCAGGGCATATGGCTTCTGGGATTTATGGTCTCTAGTTCCCATCCTCCAGGTAATAGTGAGTTATCTGGGGAACTACCCCGACCAGAGCTTTATCTGTGAAACATCTGTGTTAGAACTTCCATTTTGATTTTTAATTTTGCTGCAGATTTTTCTCTTGTATATGTTTTAAACTTTTTTCTTGTTTCTCCATCAGTCTGATCCCCTCTGACTCACATTTTCTAGGAATTCTTTGACTCTTCTGATTTATTGGCTGTATATTTCATTGTTCTCCAGTACTGTTATAAATTTATTATTTAAAAGTATTTTTTCTATCAAATTAAGGTACCTTGAGAGGGAGAGGAGGTAAACACTGTTCAGTCTGTAGTCTTGGATCATGCATAGAAATGACAAGTTTATTTCCATCTGTTTTGCACAGGTAGTTTTTTCCTCTAATTACACTATTGTTTATTTGTCATTTTAAAGTGTGATTTCTCTTTCAAGTGAGTTCGTCCTCTTCCCTGCTATAGTACTGTTCCTTACCCATAGCTGGTCTGTCTTTTACTTTGCAGCAGGGAAGGGTAACTTATCTAACACGTTCTTTTACCTGTGTGGACCCATCCAACATATATTTGACAACAGTGCCTTGACTGGTGATAACTCTTGATGCCTCCTGCTCCACTGGTGGCATCACGGTTTTATAGAACTCATAGTGCTTCACCCTCTGGGGGTAGCTCTGACGGACGATGATATCCCAAGTGGGTTCCTCATCCACAACATAATGACCTTAAAAAAATGAAGAAAGCTTTACTGTGAACTGGACACACTGTGTGGCTGGGGTTTTATCTTTTTGCTTAATTATTTTCATTTTTTTTTCTGCATCTGAATAATAGAGCAGTTCCACGTCATGACAGATGGCCCAGATTATTGGTTCTTTGCTGACCTTGTTACATTCAAATGTACTAAATGAGGTCATCTACAAGCACATAATAGGTACATTCTCCGTATAAGTCATTCTTTCTAATGAAGTCCAGGACATCTCAGGGAAGAATTATGAAGGAAGTAGTGTTTTGCTGTCTTAGATGTTCCCTCTTTTCCCCACACTAGCCTGTGAATACACAATGCTGCTGTGGTGTTATCTGGTGGCCCACAGCCCCAGGGTAAGTCACTCACTCAGGCTTGCCCTTCCTAAATCATCTATCATCTTTCAAAGTTAACATAATCCCCTCATCTCTAACCGCATCCAGGTATCTCTCAGTGTTCTGCTGTTAGTTGGCAATCAAGGAGAAAAGCACCTAATAAGCTCCTTCAAAAAGAAAGTGTAATTATAAAGAAATTCTGGCAGGCAGTAACTACTCAGTTTTTACTAAATGAATAATTTCCTCTTAATTTATAACATGGTTTACTGAAGTGAAAGGACCTTAACACAAAAGAATTATCAAGTAATAGTGGCATTTTAAGAACTATATAAGGCTAGTGGGAAAATATTTTGCAATGAGGGCTCTTCATGACACACCTCAAATTACAGAAGTAATAATAATGATAAAATAATAAAAATTTATTGAGATATTTCTATATGCTAAATACTTCATTCAGTCTACCTCAACAACCCTTTATACTAGACACTTCCATTTTCCAGAGTTTTCAGATGAAGAAATGGAGGCTTGGAGAGGTGATAACTTCTCTAAGTTCACATAGCCAGTATGTGGCAGAGCTGGTATTTGAACTGGTCTCTGTGCTCAATCATTTTCTTATACTGTAAAACAACCACCACTACAACAACCAAAAAAAAAAAAAAACCCCAAAACAATAACAGTGAAGAAAACCCAACCACTAACATTTGAACAATATGTTCCGGGTTAGAAAGTATTTTCTCATTTGATTCCGAAGTCACCCAGGGAAGAACTCCATTCTAAGCTCTTTTTTCTTACACCATGGTAATCTTCTCTCCCTTTGTCTGAAGCAATGAAGACATTGCTACCTTGTTATTTATGTTGTAATTAAGTTCAATTTCAATTAGGATATTTGTAACATATATGGGACATTTCAAAAAGATGATGTATTCCAGGCAGAGTTATTATTAACCATGTTGTCTACTCTGACATAAGGATAAATATATAAGGGTAGATAATAAAACTAATAGAAAAGAGATGTGAAAAAGGTATTAAGTTGAGATGTGATAACAGGATTAAGCAAACCAGCAAACAAGCAAATATATCCTTGAACTTGAAAACAACACCCCTCTCAGTACACTCATAGCATCTTATACTTTGGAAGACATTTAGTGACCATCCAGCAGAGTAGGTCCCATCATAAAAGGGACCACTAAGGACCCTTGGAAATAGGACAGAGGTCCCAGGTTTATTTTTAGTAATTCAGAAAGCCTAATGAAAAGCAAGATTAAAACAAAATAGGTTAACTACAGCACTTAGTTTCTTTCCTTTCATCTGGCAAGTAAATAAAACACTGAATTATTTTTAAATAGGCATAGTCTTTTTCTTTGATAGATACATTTTTCAAATATTAAACAGGGTATTTGGTAATGAAGAAAATCAAGATCCACTGATCTAATCTAACATTCATAAGATGAGGAAACATGGTCTAGAGACTATAAATAACTGCAAATGGCCGTATTGTTCATACCAGAGCCAGTTTTAGAATTCAAGTCCTAGCTCAGTGCTTGCTTTGTTGCATCTGCTACTTCTGTTGCAACAGTGAATCTCCATTTACACGATATTCAAATGCAATCACCAAAGTGGATGCCTCATCTGGTCAATTAAAGAGTCCTACTTGTATTTACTTATTCATCTGAATAGGTTAGGAGCCATGTACAGAACCAACAGAGGTAATAGACTCGATAAAATTATGCAGTGAAACATGGAAATGAGGACTGGTTTTCTTCATCCATTTAACATGTACTTTTCTCTATCTACTTTTGCTTACTATCCTTTGTTTTGATCAGAGCAGCAAAGTACTCTACCTGTGGCCCTCTGTAGAGACAGGAAGACAGCGTACACAGGAGTTGTTAGGAGCACTGGCTTTGCCATCACTGGGCCAAGATTGGCATTTCAGCTCTGCCACATAGGGGCTGAGTGACCTTGGGCAAGTCACTGAACCCACTGAAGACTCAATTTCTCTATTTTGTAAAATGGAGTTATTAGTACCTAGCTTGTAATATTTTTATTTTTTCATGTATGTTAAGTACTTAGTGTTTGGCCATAGTAAGTGCTCAAAAAATGGTCATAATTACTGTTCTCCTTATTTGAAAATAGTCCATTGCTCTTTATCAACAAGAAGCATGTTTAACTGACAGGGAAATACACAATGTCCAGAGGTGATTTAGCTGTTTTCTGTGTGGGTTTTTGTCTCCTGCCTTTCCACCCCACTCCAGCTATCACTCACCTGTAGACTCTTGCCCAGTGAAGGTCAACAGGAGTCCATTGGGGCAAGACACATTTAGGTTTTGGAAGGTGGGAACATAAACAGTCTCTTGTAAAACAGATTCTGGTTCTACTTCTTCCTGGAAATAATTTAGCGAGTGAATAATTGCTTATCGTTTTTTAAATGAGCTATTATTGCTTTTGACTAAGCAAGGATTTGCTGGGCATTTAGGATGCGACTTGCACAGAGCTAGGTGGGCCCTGCAATAGAGCTTGTAAGGACACATGAGTCTCTGCTTTTGTGCAGTCAGTATTCTACTTGTAGAATGGCACATAGACAGGTGAGACAATTAAATGACAGTACCAAATGGTTGGCACATCCTTCCTCAGAAAAGGGAGATATCAGAGTTAATAAGAATAATTGGGACAGGATCCATGGAAAAATTAGTGTTTGAAGTAGGCCTTGAAAGGTGCCCCCATTTGGATGTGTAGGTGTTAGGGCAGTGCTATGGTCTGAATTTGGTGTACCCCCCAAATTCATATGTTGAAATCTAATATCCAATATGATGATATTAAAAGGATGGGCCTTTGGGAAATGATAAAGTCAGGGGGGCAAAAGCCTCAATGGGATTAGTGCTGTCATAAAAGAGGTTGCTGTTGTCCCTTCTGTCATGTGAAAACACATAGAAGGCGCCATCTACGAAGAACAAGTCATTGCAAGACACCAAATCTGCTGGCACATTGATCTTGGACTTCCCAGCCTCTCAAACTGTGAACAATACATTTTTACTATTTGTAAATCATCCAGTCTAAGGTATTTTGTTCTAGAAGCCCAAATGAACTAAGACAAGCAGAGTACATGGGAGACCAAAATGTCTACTGCCTTTTTTGTGTGTAATTCTTACAGTTTGGGTGCTAGCGATATTATGCTATTAGGATATTTGTCCTTATTTTTCTGTAGTGAACATGCATTGCTTTTGTAGTAACTAAAAGCAGTGAGGGTTGGGCTGTGTCTACATTAAAATCCTGATTATAGGCCACCTATGCCTGAATCCCTTATTTGGTTATATGTACTCAAGAATGAAAGTTATTTTGTAACTTCCAAACAATTCCTAATAATAATCATTTCAGTTGTTTCAGTCAGTTCTCTTTTGTTAGCCACTAAAATCATTCCAACTGAATGATTTAGTAACTAGTCTTCTACTCTTCTGCCTTTTCTTTGGTATTAACAGGGAAAAAATATGAATTATTAGCTAAAATTGAATTAAAAACACAAAGCAAAATTAAGAGAAAAAAGCTTGTGAAATTCTGCAAAATGAACAAAAATGCTCAAAGATGCAAACCTGCCATGTCAGATCTATCATTACACATGAAAACAGTAAGTATCCCTCTTCCTTCTGTCATCATCAATTTTTTAAAATGTTGGGTAAGCCAATTGGTTTGCCATCAGATTAATTTTAAGCATATTACCTGTGGTCATTCTGTTCAATACTTGAATGTTTTTACTTAATAAGGGTCAAGTGGCCTGGCCTGAGAAAACTCCTCTAGAATGGCTATGTAAATATGGTGCAGAGGCAAAGTAACACTTGAACTCCGTAATTTTAAAGAGCCAGAGTCTGAAATCCAGGTTCCTAAGCACTTTTTAACACATTTTTTTTTTGTCTAATAAGTTGAGTATTTGTGCATTTTATTTTAGTAGATAGTACTCATACCAGGAGTCAAGATTTACCAGAATTTTAAAGAGCCAGAGTCTGAAATCCAGGTTCCTAAGCACTTTTTAACACATTTTTTTTTGTCTAATAAGTTGAGTATTTGTGCATTTTATTTTAGTAGATAGTACTCATACCAGGAGTCAAGATTTACCAGTAGTTTTGTTGCTGTCCTTCTTTTAGAACTCTCATTTGATCTGTGTTCCATTAGAAACATGTTTAGAGTCAAAGCTTGTGTGTGTGTGTGTGTGTGTGTCCTCTAATAAAGGGTAGGGATAGAAGGTGGACTACTGTTTAACAAGAAGTGTGCTGTCCCTTAGTCTTGCTGGATTCTTAGCACATCAATATCTAATTCCATGTCTATCAAATAGAGGTTTCCATTGTTTAGTTACAGATCTTTGTCTTCCAATTACTTACTTATCTAAATGGAGCTAAATAAAGTGTTAAAAATAAGGAATGTTAGGAACTTGCCCAACCAAAAGCAAAGAAAACCCAAGAATTAGGGTGTGGAAAAGGTTGAATTAATCCTTCTGAGATTGGTATGAATGAACTGAAATAACTTGTGTATGACAATATGTCTCCTGGTGTGGAAATCCAATTTTTGTGTGCAAATCCTTCTTGTTCATTCAAAGTTGAGACTATAAGGAATGTCAATGCATCTGCACAATAAAATGCTTTGTAATATTGACATAAGTCACAGTTTTTAAAAAGTTAACACTGAGGAAAAAATATAGTTTGGAAATCCATGGCAAGATTTATTTACCTTTTTCTCTTCTTCTTTTGGGATCTCCTCTTCTTTAAGGGAATCTTTGGGTTTTTCTTTGCCTTTTATTTTTCCTTTAGCTTTGCCTTGAGGAACAGTCACTATAACAGGAATCACTGTTGCAGTGAGTGCTGAAGGGATGTTCAGCATTGTTTCCAAATTAGGATCCTTATCCTCTATAAACAGAAAAAGAGAAAATCAAGTAAATTAAACACCCATATTTGATATATTTTTTAAATAACATTTACAATTCAAAAATTTATACAAGTTGGCAACATTTTTTACCTTGTTAAATATGATTTATCAGTGTAAATTAAACACCCATATTTGATATATTTTTTAAATAACATTTACAATTCAAAAATTTATATAAGTTGGCAACATTTTTTACCTTGTTAAATATGATTTATCAGTTGGATAGATTTCAGGGTTAATGTGGTTGATTTGAAAATCAGGATTATAGTTAGAAAATCTGAGGCATATAATACCTTGATATATTTGATTGAGACATTATCTTACATGTTCTTGCCTTCCCATCTATGTTGTAAACTCCTTAATGATAGAGCAGTAACCATCCCTTCATTTATTTAAGAAATTTTGAGAGGATCTTATATGTAAAATGTTTGGAGCAGCAGGAAATAATGGAAAAAAATATTTAAAAATAATTACTCATGGAATTAAAACAAAAAAGCTCAGGCCTCCCCTTAAACAACTGAATCAGACTGGAGATGAGGCTGTGAACATTGTTAGAATCAAAATGGAGTCTTGTGGGTCAAGCCCTGTCAAAATGGAGCCAGAGAAGACCATGAAGGGAAGGTTCTACGCACCTATGCCTGATAACAAGAACTATCACAAAATACTTCGCAAAATCTGCAACCTTGCACAAAGGCAACCACATCCTTGCACAAAAATGCATCTGTGAGGACATCTGCCCAGTAACTGCCTGTCCAGCCTTGGAATGACACCACCCTTATTATTGATCTTTGTAGCCGAGGATACTTGCTCCAAAACAACTTATGTAACCCTTTTCATTTTTCCTTTAAAAAATCCTTGCCTTCCTTTACCTTCCTCAACATGTCCATGTGTATTCCCATTGCAAGGCTCATTCCCAAATAAATATCATTTTCTTTTAGAGAGTCTCTCTCTGTCTGTCTTTTAGGGTTGACAAGGTCCAGATATTATATCTGTGAAACACTACATGTGATTGTAATACACCGCGAGGGATGAGCATCTTTATTATGTATATTAGATCTGGATGATCTCATTCACCACTGGGCTCCAATTGTCATCTATATGCTACCGACTCCAAAATTTACATCTCAAGCCATGACTTTTCTTCTCTGTTCCAGATCCATATTTCTGACTGCTTTAAGGCTATGTAGCATAGGGATTACCTTTTAATTTTGTAATGCCTTTTTAAAAAATATGTTATGGTTAGATCCCTCTAAAATGCATGAGAACACACAGATTTCCTGATTGGTTCTTGGTAAAATGACATACTATTTTGTGATTTGCAAAGAAATAGCTTCTAGTTGGAGAGTTTTTTTATTGAAAGTGGGGAAGAGAAATCCTTCAAGATATCCAATAAATGGCTCCTTTATGAGTAATGTCCTGAAGCACACTGAGCAATTCCATAATCACAGGATTCATAAAAATATTCTGTAGAAAACCAAGAGGATTGCTTGGTAAATCACGGTTTCTTTGGCACCAACTAACAGGCTTATTTTCATGGACTAATTAACAAAGATGATTGGAATACATATACGTGTACACACACACATAATCTTACATGCATATGCGATTATATAAAAGATTATATAAATGATAAAGCTTAAAGTGTCAAAGTATTATTATTTGCTATATATGAAAGATTATATATACATGTATACACACATATGTACACACACATATCTTATATTCCTACCCTGCAGTGAAAACTAAGAGGCATTAAATCAGAACATGTTTATTGACAAGTGAGCAGACTGAGGATGGACAGGGGCAGGGATGCCTGGCCATGGGACACAGATATCTTTTCTGTCGTGTTTATTTCACCTGGTGCCATTCCACTTGATCCATAGTAACTTATCGAGAGGCAGATTCCATTTTCTAAGGTGGCAGAAAAAGATCCAAACGTGCTGACGGCTTTGTTCTCTGCATGTGATACTTCTATAAGACAAATAAAATCAAGGACATTTCCATTTTATTCAAAACAAATGTAAGCAAAACTCAGTGAGAAGGCTGAGAATGGAGATCTCAGCTGGTCTGCCACGATCAACTTAAAAATAATTGGTTTAGCCCTGAGTACATGGTACACCCTATTAGAGGTAGGGTGAAGTTACAAAGATGAGAATATGAGACTGTTGTTTTAAGGGCTTTGGTTTGAAAGGAAGAGAGGAAATAAACTTGATGATTGCATAGTTATGCACAGATTAATCATATGGGAAATTGTTCACATGACTTTTAAAATTAAAACCATTCGTTCAGCTGCAATTTTTCCACATTTTAAAACACATTCTTAAATCCCCACATTTAAAATTTCTTACATTTTAAAACAAAATTTAAAAATTGTTTTAGTCAAAATTTTAAAATAAAATCTGTTAAAACACACATTGTTAAGGTATATCATATGAAAAGAATTTGTGAATGTTCTTTTTTATCATTTTATTTTCATTTCACCGTAATTCCTCTACTATACAATCAAGGTGGGATGATACTGATTTAAAATGCTCTAACTCATGAAGAGATAATTTCTAGACTTGGAAATTCAAATGCCCAATGGAACGAAAATTCAAGAGAATGGAAAAACAAGCCAAAAACTGGGAGAAAATGTCTGCAAAAAATGTATCTGATAAAGAACCATTATCCAACATAGATAAAGAACTCTTAAAACTCAACAATAAGAGAGAAAGAAGGAAGGAAAGAAAAACCACAGTAACGTGCTGGACTTGCAGGAGAGAACATATCTAAGGTTGCTGGGTGTGGAGATGGGGAGGGGTAGAGGTGGGAAGGGGAAGGGAGGTGGGGGAGAGGTTGGGAGGGGAAAAAAAGAATATAAACTGGGTATTTCTTCCATCTGGCATTGAAACATTTGAATAAACCTGAAAAAGAAAAAAAAAGAAAATACACAACCAGATTAAAAAATGGGTCAATGACCTAAATAGACACCTCACCAAAAAAAGATAAGCAGGTGGCAAATATGCATATGAAAGATGCTCGACATCATATATTATCATAAAAATGCAAATTAAAACAGTAAGATACCACTAGACACCTATTAGAATGGAGAAAATCCAAGACACTGACAACACTAAATGGTGGCAAGATATATAGCAACAGGAACTCTCATTCATTGTTGGTGGGGATGCAAAATGATAAAGCCACTTTGGAGGATACTTTGAAGAATTCTTACAAAACTAACATGCTCTTAGTGTATTATCCAACAGTCTTAGTCTTCAATATTTACCCAAAGGAGTTGAAAATTATGTCCACATAAAAACCTGCACAAAGATGTTTGCAGCACCTTTATTCATAATTGTCCAAACTTGGAAGCAATTACTATGTCTTTCAGTAAGTGAATGGAAAAATAAATTGTGGTACATCCAGACAATGGAATATTATTCAGTGCTAAAAGGAAATGAACTATCAAAAATGGAAATGCATATTACTAAGTGAAAGAAGCCAGTCTGAAAAGACTACATACTGTATGATTCCAACTGTATGACACTCTGAAAAAGGCAAAACTATGGAGATGGTAAAAAGATCAGTGGTTGCCAAGGGCTGGGGAAAGGGAGGGACAAGTAGGCAGAGCACAGAGGATTTTTAGGGCAGTGAAACTACTCTGTATGATACTATAATGGTGGGTACATGTTATTATACATTGGTCTAAACCCATAGAAAGTGCAACACTAAGAGTGAACCCTAATGTAAACTAAGGACTTAGGTGATAACAGATAACATGTTAATAAAGGTTCTTCAGCTGTAACAAATGTGACACTCTGGTGGGGGATGTTGATAGTAGGGGAGGCTATGCCTGTGCAAGGGCAGGGAATATATGGAAAATCTCTGTACCTTCCACTCAATTTTGCTGTGAACCTAAAACTGCTCTAAAAAATAAAGTCTACTTAAAAAAATATGCTTAGTGTTGATCAGGGTGCAGGGAAATAGGCACCTTTATGCACTATTAATAAGAGGGTGTATTGGTAGAAACTTGAGGGAAAGTACTTTAAAACAAGTCATGTAAAGAAACAAAATGGACAGAGGGGAATATTAGTCAGAAAACAAACAAAAAATAATACATGCTCAGCAAAATATAAATTATGGAAGAGATAGATAAATGCTTAATTAAAAAATATTTATTTTTCATTATACATATTTATGGGTATAGTTTACTATGAGTATTGTGTACAGTATGTGATGATGAAATCAATATTATTAGCATGTTCATCATTACAAATCATAATTATTCTTTGTGTCCCTTACCCAATTATTCCCTAGTCCTCCTCCCCTTCCTCCCTTCCCACCTGTAGTAACTATAGGTCTGTTCTCTTTTTCTGATTTTTTTTAAAGCACATAAGGATATTTTAAAATGCACTTTCTGAAATTGAAAAACATGCTTTCCCAACCAAACTGTTCAGTATCCAGTAGATGAATAGAAGGGGAAGATGGTCACTTTTGAGATTCAAAAGAGTTTCTTGGAAAATCAAGTGAAAAAAGTATCTCAAAACCCAGAGCAAACATTTAAACAGAAGGAAGTCATGAAGAAGACATAAGAGATTTGGAGAATAAATTTATGCAAATTTTAGGTATTGCCGAAGGGAAAAAGGAACAAGTGAAGAAGAGCAAAAATTAAATTAATAACAAAACTTCTACTCCAGAAGTTACAAGACAGTGCAATAGCAACTATGAATCATAAGGAGAAAAGGATGACAATCTAAGGATCCTTATCATTTAAGATATCCAGAAATTGAAAGAGCATACTATCATGTGTCTCATCTGAAGACAAAAAATAATACTAAACAAACAACTAACTTCTCATGTGTTCCTCTTTAAAAGCCTTCAGAACCATGCCCATGACCTCCATTTTTAATCCATTCACTAGGCATGGTTCTCAGAATCTAATCACCTTTTCAAGGCCCCACCTTTCAATCGCTATAAGATGTACCACCCTCCTAACAGTCACAGTGGGGGCCAAGTTTCTAATGCATAAAACTCGGGGGACACAATTCAAGCTTTAATTGAATTTGGGGGGAACATTCAGTCACCATGTTATGATAGAGCAAGGACGTTCTTACCAGATATGGCCCTTCAGTCTTGGATTTCCCAGCATCTAGAACCATGAGTCAAATAAATTTCTTTTCTTTATAAATTACCCAGTCTGTAGTATTTAGTTATAGCAGCAAAAAACAAAGACAATGAGAATAGAATGTTGAATATTAGGGCTAAAACTTAAACAGGATATCAAAAAACTTCTTGAAACTAATGAAAATAAAGGCACATTATACTAAAATATGTGGGATACTGCAAAAGTGGTGCTAAGAGGGAAGTTTATTGCAATAAATGCTTACCTCAAAAGAACAGAAAGATTTCAAATAAACACCTAATGTTATACCTCAAAAAGTAGAAAAATGAGAAACATCCAATCTCAAAATTAGTAGATGGAAAGAAATAATATCAGAGCAGAACTAAATGAAATAGGTATCAAAAAAGTTATACAAAAGAAATCACTGAAACAAAAGGTTTTTTTTGAGAAGATAAACAAATTAGACAAACCATTAGCTAAGCTATTCAGAAAAAGAAGAGATAAGATCCAAACAACAAAAATCAAAATGAAAAAAGAGACATTACATCAGATACCATAGAAATACAGTGAATCATTAGAGATTATTACGAACAACTATACACCAACAAATTTTAAAGCCTGGAGGGAATGGATAAATTTCTGGACACATACAAACTACTGAGACTGAAACAAGAAGAAATAGAAAACCTGAACAGACCAATAAGGAGAAATGAGATTGCAGCAGTCTCCAACAAAGAAAAGCCCAGGACTGGATGGCTTCACTGCTGAATTCTACCAAGGCTTTTAAGAATTAAAACCAGTCATTTTCAAAATGTTCCAAAAAAATTAAAACAAAGGCCATTCTCCCGAATTCCTTTATGAGGACAGCATCACCCTAATACCCAAATCAGACAAAGACACTACAGAAAAAAGAACATAAAAAGAAAACTACAGGCCAATATTCTTGATGCACATAGATACAAAAATCCTTAACAAAATATTAGCAAATAGAATACAACAGCACATCAAAAGATTACATACCATGATAAAGTGGGATTCACCCCAGGGATTCAAAGATGGTTCAACATATGCAAATAAACAAATGTGATATATTATATCAACAAAATCAAATACAAAAACCATATGATTATATCAATAGATGCAGAACAAGCATTTGATGAAGTTCAGTATCACTTCATGAGAAAGACACTCAACAAATTAGGTATGGAAGGAAACTATCTCAACACAAGAAAAGCCATAATATGACAAACCCATTACCTACATCATCCTGAACTGAGAAAAGCTGAAAGCTTTTCTTTTAAGATCAGGAATAAAACAAGGATACCCACTCTTATGATTCATATTTAAAATAGTATTGGAAGTACTAGCCAGAGCCATCAGGCAAGGTAAAGAAATAAAGGGCAACCAAATTGGAAAAGATGAAGTCAAATTGTCCCTGTTTGCAGATGATATGATCCTCTATATAGAAAAGCCTAAAGAGTCTACCAAAAAACTCTTAGAACTGATAAAGGAATTTAGTAAAGTTGCAGGAAACAAAATCAATATACAAAAATCAGTAGCATTTTTATACACCAACAATGAACTAGCAGAAAAAGAAATCAAGAAAGCAAGCCCGTTTACAATAGTTACCAAAAAACCCCCAAAATACCTTGGTATAAATTTAACCAGGGAGGTGAAAGAGCTCTACAATAACTATACAACACTGTTGAAAGAAACTAAAGAGCACACAGAAAGATGGAAAGACATTCCATGTTCATCGATTGGAAGAATTATTATTGTGAAAATGTCCATACTACACAAAGCAATCTACATACAGATTCAATGCAATCTGCATCAAAATATTAATGACATTCTTCACAGAAAAAACAACTGCAACATTCATATGCAACAACAAAAGACCCCAAATAGCCAAAGCAATCCTGAGCAAATAAAAAAAGTCAGAGGCATTATACTATCTGATTTCAAATTATACTACAAAACTGTAGTAACCAAAACAGCATGGTACTAGTGTAAAGACAGACACATGGACAAGTGGAACAAAATAGAGAACCCAGAAATAGATCTATATACTTACAGCCAACTGATCTTTGACAAAGGGACCAAGAACATACATTGAGAAAAGGATAGCCTCTTTAATAAATGGTGCTGGGAAAACTGGATATACATGTGTAGAAGACCTGTACCTCTTGCCATAAACCAAAATCAACTCAAAATGTATTAAAGACTTAAATATAAAATCTGAAACTATAAAACCCCTAGAGGAAAGAATAGTGGAAAATCTTCAAGATGTAGGACTGGGCAAAGACTATGAATAAGACTTCAAAAGCACAGGCAAGAAAAAATAAACAAGTAGGATTATATCAAACTGAAAAGCACAGCAAAGGAAACAATCAACAGAGTGAAAAGACAACCTATAGAATGGGAGAAAATATTTGCAAACTATACATCTGACAAGGAATTAATATCCAGAAATACAAGGAACTCAAACAACCTAAAAGTAAAAAAAAAATAATAAAAAAAATGAAAAATCAGATTAAAAAATGGGCAAAGGAGCTGAATAGGTATTTCTCAAAAGAAAACATATAAATGGACAACAGGTACATGAAAAAATGCTCAACATCACTAATCACCAGGGAAATGCAAATTGAAACCACAATGAGGCATTATCTCACCTCTGTAAGACTGGCTATCATCAAAAAGACAGAAAATTAAAAATCTTGGCAAGGATGTTGAGAAAGGGAAACCCTTCTACAGTGTTGGTACTGTAAACTAGTATAGCCATGATGGAAAACAGTATGGAGATTTCTCAGACAGCTACAGATAGAACTACCATATGATCCAGCAATACTGGAATGGAAATAATCATGTCAAGGGGATACCTGCACTCCCATGTTTATCGAAGCTCTATCTATTTACAATGGCCAAGATACAGAATCAACCTAAATGCCCATCAACAGACAGCTGGATAAAGAAAATGTGGTATATATACATAATGGAATACTACTCAGCCATAAAAAAAAAAAAAAAACAACTGAAATTCTGCCATTTGCAGCAACATGGATGAGCTTGGAGACAATTATGTTAAGTGAAATAAGCCAGGCACAGAAAAAGAGATACCGTATGTCCTCACTCACAAGTGGGAGCTAAAAAGTAAATAAATGAGTAAAAAAAGAAAGAAAGAAAGGAACAGCAATCACAATAACACATTGAAGTTTCAGAAAAAGAGCTCAGAACTGTGGTTACTAGTGGTAGGAAAGGAGGAAAAGGAGGGGAGTTAGCGAGAAATTGGTAAATGGACACAAAGAACGATTATATTTTGTATTGATGAATATGCTAATTATCATGATTTGACAATCACACATTGTGCACATGTACTGATATTCAATTCCATACCCCACAAATATGTATAATCAATTCTTTCAATAAAAAATAAAAATAAAAATTGTATATTAAACTATGCAAAAAAGAAAATGATTAAATGAATGTATATATGCATTCATATATAAATAAATAAATAAATATAAGCATATTGTATTAATTTTGGTGGAAATCACCTAATAATGTAAAAACACAGAAATGATTAAGTAAATTATGATATAAAGACAAATAAAATATTAAATCATTCAAAAATCTTGTTTTCAAGAAATATTTAATTGATTAGAAAAATGCTCATGATGATAAAGAAATACACTATCAACAGAGGTTGTCACTGGGGTGGTAGAATTATAGACAACTTTTATCTTTTTAAAATATTTCTATATTTCCTAATTTTTCATAATAATCGATACATTTTTATTTCATATAAAACAAAAAAAGTAATTTAAAAATTTCTGTGCTAAGTTCTTGGGTACATTTATACTGGTCAAACATTGTGTTCTTATCTTGGGTTTGGAAAATGTCACTGTAACTAAACTTATAAGTGAGATTTAGTTATTGACTTTGTCACTAACTTGAGTCAAAAGTGTTTTATTAATTAACTTTTCTCCTTTTCCAGGTATAACCCAAGCCACTTTAGACAAGAAGAAATTAATCTCTCCAGGTGGTGTTGCCTATTTAACATCTGTTAAATGGTGTTATCAGGAAGTTTCATGGTGTTTAATCAATGTTCACCCACTTGGGCAGCTCTCATCTTCAAGCAGGTAATGACACTTATGGCCAAATCTATGCCTTTTCCTTTTGCTTGCAACCTGAGAAATTTGATGCTACAGAGAGAACTAAGTGATAGAGAAGGGAGAGGGAGAAACCTCATCATTTGCAGTAAATATTGGAGAGAAGCTAAACGGCTCCTGTAGGAATCAATTAATGAGGACCTGAGTCCTAGAGACTGCAGTTGGTGCAAGTGTATAAATCAAAAGTAAGGACAGAATGGACATCACAAACTCAATGCTGCTACATAAAGGTAGCCAGCCTGGACAGACTCTCTATGAAAACTGGAATCAAGAACTGCGTGCCCAGAGGGAGTAAAACCAAGTAAAAAGCCCACTATAGGTGAGCTCTCTCTATATAATGTGTATACAAATTATATTACAGAAAATGTGTATAAGCAGAATGTCAGGATATGTCAGTTACCATCTGGAAAAATTCCATGTGCTAAGTGCGAGAGACACACGCATATTTCTGTCGGGTGGATGGGTTTGGGACAGTCCTTAGTTATTAACCTCTACTTTCACAAAGATGCAGCTGTTTACCTGTTGCAAGATTTTGTTTCTCATCTCTCTCTTCTTTCTCATCTTCTGAAGAATAATCCTCTTCATTCTTCTCTTTTTTCACAATTTTCTTAGGGTCTTTTAAATGAATTATAAAATTGTGCTTGTCCTTTTTCACTTTCACTTTGATAAAAGTTGGGCCTGAGGAAGAGCCGTGGGATAGAGGTTGGGCTGATTAGGGTGCCTCATTAAGCTCCTTGACAAGATGTTTAAAGACTGCATCATAGAATTTAAATTAGAAAATGAAAATACTTACAGATGTCAACATTCCTATAAAAGGATACCTAAAGAATAAAGTGATGGCAGAATCCCAGGAATAAATGGCAGGTGAATCAAGGAGATATTTGCAAGCTTTTTATTTGCACCTCAAACCAAATTGCAAAAGAGAAAATAAATTGGCTGAGGCAATGTATACCTATAATCTACTTTATAATTCTCATATGAGATAATTAATGTGAAAGGGTTTGCAAATTATAAAAATTATATGTTGGTTATAGTAGTAATTGTTGTTACTATTAGTGTAGTAGTAGTAGTTAAAAGAATTTTCCCAACAACCTATTTTCTCTTTAGTGCTCTCATTTTCTTTTCCTCTGTTTTTTCTTTTTTTTTAATCCAGCTTTTTCTTTTCAACTTTGATTTAGCTATCATCTCAAAAAATTAATGGAATTAAGATGAAAATACTGTATTTGCTATGACCCATTTGAAACTTATATGCTGGACTATATGGGTGGATCTACAGATCTTAATAACAGCTAAAATAACTGAGTATCAGCACCAGGCCTCCAAGCTCTGTGTTCCAAAGCACGAACCAGAAAAATGCTATAAACTCACAGTATGCGCTTGGTTTCTGAGATAACGATATATGTTATAACTAATATTAATTAATATTTGCTTACTGCAGTTACTATTATACTATTTACCAATAGTATGGAAGCATTTTAATGTTATAACAAGTGGGATGATCATATTAGTGTGTCCCAGCTAAACTCTCAGCTGGCCTATGCCTCGCAGAGTCAATTACAATAGAAGAATGTGCAGTCTGAAAATACTGAACGCAGCATATAAATGAATTGCTGTGGACACATCAATGCTCTCACCTATCACACTCAGGAGTACAAGGCTCCATGATTATCTGAAATGCATTCACATCTTTCAAGACCTTAGCCATCTGCTTTCAAAGGTACCTTTTTCAAACGTTGTCTTTTCTACTTCAATCTGCCCTCCATCGGAAGGATACAGATAGTAATTTGTCCCTGAAATTTGGATGGGTACATCTCCCATATTGTATCCTCGAAACTAGAAGAGAAAACATGCTTTTCATCTGCTTTCAAAGGTACCTTTTTCAAACGTTGTCTTTTCTACTTCAATCTGCCCTCCATCAGAAGGATACAGATAGTAATTTGTCCCTGAAATTTGGATGGGTACATCTCCCATATTGTATCCTTGAAACTAGAAGAGAAAACATGCTTTTAGTGTAGAACTGCAATTGACAAAAATCAACTTACCAGTGTTAGCCAATTAAAGCTGCCATAAGCTTTTTTCTACTTAATGATATGTCTGCTACTTTGTTGACTCAGAGGCCAGTGTCCCTAGTATTTTTAGGACCTTCTGTGATGTTATGACCATAGAAGAATTAAAAAATTTCTATAATATTAAAGGGGCATCCTCTAACCTGGTCCAAATCAATTTATTGTGCTATTGTCAGGGCAGTGAGAGAAGAAATCAAGTCCTTATTCATTAACTGTTAATTTTCTGTTTAAAGGGAACTGACATATTGAGAAGTATTGACACTTTGTACTTTAGGAGGTCATATGTAAAGACATTTTTTACTAAGTGTTGGTAATAGAGCTCCAGGTAATTTTGATGCATGTTAAAACTTGCAAGCAACTAGTTTAGAATAGTAGCTACAAAGGACAGGGGTTGTTAGATTTCTTTCCATTTTTTCCCCCACTAGGTTTTCCTCATAATAGCCACTTGAGGGAGAATTGGCAAAGGGAGGGTTTTACAGAAGCATACAGGCCAGAAATATGGGTGCCTACAGAGAGACAACCAAATGAACTCAGCAAGTCCTACCATTCATGACAAATAAAGCCAACCTTTGTGTTCACATTGACCTGCCACAGTCAATTATTTCCATGTATTTAAATGAAGGCCTTTGTGTCAGATTTCTGTCTTTTCCGACCTTAGTAACCTAGCTTCATGGCACTCAAGAAAAACTGGCCTGCAGGAGTTCTTATCCTAGTGATTGGCTAGAAAGAAGGTTCTAGATATCAGATGGTGGAATGCAGGTTTGTAATAGATACCAAATGAAACTGCAAGGCCTTCTGTGATGGTAGTAAAGACAAGGGAATCTTATGCTTCACAAATCCACCTTTTCTCAAAGCAATTAGAGATAGTCCAAAGAGACTTTTTAGAGAATTGATTTTACCGCGTAAACTGTCTCCAGTTCTGGCTGCTGGAGGGGATCTTCTGTGTTTTCTGGAATCTTCACTAGTTCTTCTCTAGTTTTCTCCCTGAAAGAAGATATTTTCTTCTCAGATCTATCTTCTTTCTCTAATTTATCCTTGCTCTTCTTTTTACCAGTTTCTTTACTCTTCTTTTCTGCTTTCTTTTCTTCCCTTAAGCGTTCCTCTTCTGCTAATCGATCTTGTTCTTCTTTCCATGCCTGTAAACACATTTAAAAAATTTGACAGAATTTAGAAACAAATTAAGTATGGGTTCCATTTGGGTTCATTCCGGAAAATATTTAACATGATTTTTGTAAGTGGTATCTATGACAAATCAAAATACTGACCTAGAAACCTTGAAGTCATCTTTTATTTTCTCTTTCTCTCACTCAGCGCCTAAGTAAAGCTTCTATTTTAAAAAAATGACACCTTCATTGGGTGAACTAGAAAAAAATCGTTTCTTGTAGAACAAGACTACGAGAATTCTAGCCTGCATTCCTGTCCCTGGGCTTAAGGGTAGTGGGGTGGGGGGAGAGTCTCCCCTGAGCACACCTAACCACAAGCCTGTTTTCGCATAAATTTGTGGCCAAATGCACATCACTTAAAATTTTTTTAAAGTTATGAGTTGATATGAGTTCACAGATGAAAATCATAAAACATGAAGAAAGAAGCCACCTTGAGCAAGAACCTGAAGAAACAAACTGTAAAATTGTATCAGCAAAAACTCCAAATATTGGAATTACCAAATAGAGAATATAAAATAAGTTTTTAAGGGTCGACCCGGTGGCTCATTCGGTAGAGTGCGGCACTCCCGCTGCGGGTTCGGATCCTACATAGGGATGGCCGGTGCACTCACTGGCTGAGCGCAGTGCGGACGACACCAAGCCAAGGGTTGCGATCCACTTACCGGTCACAAAAAATTAAAAAAAGGAAAAAAACAAAGACAAAAAAAAATAAGCTTTTAATATGCTTAAGCAAATAAGAGGAAGTATCAAAAGTATAAGTAAGAGAAAAGAGAGTATTAAACACGACAAGGTGAGTTAAAAAGACCTCCTGGAAATGGAACAGAACTTTTGAAAAGGCAATATTTGAACAGACAATGGTTGAGACATTTCCAGAGTTGATGAAAGACACTAATCCTAACATTCGGGCAGGTCAATGAATCAAAAGTAGTTCTACACATGGCTTATATGGACTTGAAAGAGTTTATTGTTAAATTTTTGGGAATTTTGTGAGCCAGTTGTTAACCACAAACATCAAAGAATAAATTACATAAATGTACAGTTAAATAAAATATTAAAAACAAAGTCAATAAATACTCGAAACTCATTGCTTTGTAGTTATTTTGCTACATTTCACTATTACCTATCCTAAGGTGATATATATCAACTGTATTTATATTATGGAAACACTATATCATGGTGTGCACATTGTTTTGGACTGGGCATTCCGTGATGTCACATTGGTAAATTGAAATCAGCCACTGAGGGAATATTTACAATACAGATATCAGCAAATTCTACTAGTAAGGGATTGATTGTTGATTATCTAGATTCAAGAAAGTAACGAAGAGAATGTTAACAGTACAGATTAAACTTAAAAGTGTGTCATGTCTGTAGCTGTTACATTATAACAAGCCCCCAAATTGGGAAAATATTCTTCTGATATTCAAAAACTATTATCTGATTCAGCAAAGAAGTTTCTCATGTCATTAACAAATGAATGAGACATACCCCTTTGTTGTTTTACTTTTGTGTTACTTGTTAAAATAAATGAAAATACGAGGGTATTTCAGAAAGTTCAGGGAAAGATTTGTATTGCTTTTTTTTTTTTTGTCCTTTTTGAGACCGGCCGCACCGCGCTCAGCTAGTGAGCGCTGTGAGCGCACCGGTCATCCCTATATCGCTCCCGGCGCCGCACTCTCTCGAGTGCGCCACGGGCTCGGCCCTTGTTTTGTAATTCTATTTTTTCCACAGACTTTTTGAAGTAGACTTGTATTAATCAATGTTCATATTGAAACTACGTTTTTTTGTCAATTGTAACTATAGGTGGTCAAAGGATACAAGAATTTAGCAAAAATCAAAGACAGCATTCTCTAAGAATCAAATGGCTTTATGGAATTTACAAGAAAGTGTTTTTTTTTTTTTATTTGTAAATTGTATGTTGTACATACTATTTGTCAATAACACTTATAATAAACTTATGCATATACATACATGGACAGTTTTATTTTCCTAGAGAGCTACTGCTGAACATTTATAAGCACACTGAGTGGTAACTTTGAAACAGAATGTTTTCAAAGGAGCTGGACAGAAAAGATACACTGTCTATAAAAGAATAATAAATTAGATCGACAATCAATTTACTAACGGCCACAGTGTCAGCAAGGAAAATGTGGAATAGTATCTTGAATGTGCTAAGAGGAAATAAAAAAAAAATCAACCAAGAATTTAATAAATAAAAACTATGTTCAATGAGTAAGGGTAAAATAAACTTATTTTTCAGATAAGCAAAAACTGAGTTTAATAGCAACTGTGATATTGTGATATAAGAAATAGATACTTAGTCTTCATTCCTGTCTCCTGGCACAGTCGCTTGGAATTTTATGAGTAACAGGAGCATCTTTCATTCTAAAGAGGCAACTCTTGGCAGGTTCTTCAGGATGGGATGGGGGCTGGTCATCAGAAAGACCAAACCCTGATTGAACTTTCGGTCTCACTTGCCAGCCTCTGGGGAGGGGAGAAGAGCTGGAGATTGAGTTAATAATCAATCACACCTGTGTGATGAAACCTTCATAAAAACCCCTAAACAACAGAGTTTGAAGAGCTTCTGGGTTGGCGAGTGCATCCACATTACAGGAGGTTTACACATCCTAACTCTGTCCTAACTCTGTGGGGACAGACGCTCCTGTGCTTGGGACTCTTCTGGACCCACCTTGTTCTAAGTACCTGTTCATCTGGCTGTTCATTTGGATCTTTATAACACTCTTTTGAAATAAGCTGGAATTGTAAGTAATGTGTTTCCCAGAGTTCTGTGAGCAGCTGTTCTAGCAAATTATCAAAACTGAGGAGGTGGTTGTGGGTACCCTTGACTTTGTAGCCAAGTCAGACAGAAGTGTGGGTACTCTGGGCGCTCAATGCTTGTCATTGGCCTCTGAAGTAGGGGCAGCCTTGTGGGACTGAGACCTTAATCTGTGGGGTCTGTGCTAACTCTGGGAAGTTAGTATCAGAATTGAATTGAATTATAGGACACCCAATTGGTGTCTGGAAAGTTGGAGAACTAGTTGGTGTGGGAAAAACAAAACAAAACAAAAAAATTCCCACAAATTTAGTGTCAGAGGGTTGTGAGTAAAAACAGCTCACAGCAACTGGGTTCCTTTATACCCACTAAAGGAACTTCTAGACGAAATATTCCCAGAGTATAAGGTGTAAGAAGAGATAATCACAGAGGATTTGTAGGGCAGTGAAACTATTCTATATGTTACTATAATAGTGAATAGATGACAATATGCATTTGTAAAAATTCATAGCACTGTACAACCAATGATGGAATCCTAATGTAAAATTTGGTTAATAATAATGTGTCAATATTAGTTTATAATTGTAAAAAATGTGCCACATGCCACACTAAGGTAAGATGCTAACAAGAGGAGAAATTGTGCATGTGTGGGGGGGTAATGTGAACTGTTTGTACTTTCTACTCCATTTTTCTGTAATCCTAAAACTGCTACAAAAAAATAAAAAGCTCAGCAAAACACATGGTAAGCAAGGGGCTAAATCTAAACAACATTGACTATATAAAACAATTACAATAATGTATAATGTATACTTTGTGAAAACAGGAAAAATCAAGACAGTTCCTTGTATTGTTCTGGAAGAAAGTAAAAATATTTTATTAAGTTTGGAGTTCATTAAATTATATTCACAATTTGAATTTCTAGAGTGACCACTAGTAGAACAGAAAAGAAGTGTATACCTATCAAGCTTTTCCTAAAAAGGATCAGATAGTAAATATTTTAGGCTTTGGGGGACAACAGGCAGAATCAAAGACACTATGCAGATACTTTATGCAGCAAGACAGAAAAGAATTTATGCAAATATTTTATTGACAAATAATTGATTAGAATTTTTACTAACAAGAAAAATAGTATCCTTTTTTTGTGGTGGGGAATAACATTTCACTTATTTAGCGTCAAAATTAGTGTTCACTATCATCAAATTAATTGCAAATGAAAGAGAAAAATAAACTCAATACAAAGAAAGCAAGAAAGAAGGAAAAAAGTCTCATAAAAAAGCAGAAATATATAAGATACAAAATAAGTTATTGAAGAAAT